CGGTGTATTTTCATATGAAAGAAAACAAAAAAGAAAGTACCATCCAATTCAAAATTTCATAATATCGTCATTAAACAACGTATGATACTCGGGATGCTGTTAATCTGACAGTAAGGGCTTAAGTTTAACGTCGACATTGCGTTTTGTCTACACTTACGGTAACGGTGAGAATTTTTACTTATGTCTTTTACTTAACGAGTATGTGGTACACTGTAGGTATTTATAATAATATTGTAACCGGTAGTGAGAGATCCTTGGTCACTATGTAAATGCGCCACGTGGAAGTAACACGAGGATGGATAATTTGCAGCGAGCATTTACAAACTTATCATTAACTCTTCCATTACCTACTTCACGTCTTTGGAAGGGTCACGAAACTTAGTGGCACACTTGGTATACTTGAAAACTCTCGTGTGCATCAATTTGAAGAGCCTTCTCGAGGTGATTAAAGGCTAAAGGAGATTCATGTGTACAATATTGATTTAGCGCGACGTAAGCCGCTCGCTTCGTCAAAAATCAAGATAACAACGTTATTAAACTGCTTGCAGAAGTCCATAATTCGTATGCCGAATTAATTAATTACTTCCTAACGCGTAGTAGTAGACCTTGCTCACGTGAGATTGTGATGGATATAATTTTATCTTTTTTTTCTTTTAATGATTGCCATTTAATAGATGTATGTGTGATGTACGCGCTCGTGAAACGTCGTCGATTATTATTTTGGTGCCCAGTAAATATTAATAATCTAGGCATTGTGACTTAAAGTTAGTGGCACCGAATTCGATACCAATTTGGTTTCGATTATTTGATTCGAACCACACAAAAAATGGCGCGTGTATCGCTTCTGTAGTTATGTGTGAATCAATATGGTTACTAGTAATACAATCTTTTAATAAACATGACGTGTCCCTTTTCGGGCATCTAACTGCGTAGATATAATTACATAGTGATATATCCACATGCCATTTAACCGATAACGAGAAGATCATTCACAAGGAATCTGTATTACGTACCCCATGCTACGGCAGACATAACGTATTATGCATTCCGCCTCAATTATACTATCGATCTAGATTAATTAACGTAATTCCCGGATAAAGTGAATACACCCTCTATCGTTACGTCTTGCATATTGTATATAACTATATACAATAAAGGAAGAAAGCAAAAATGAAAAATCATCGCCTATGACCTTCGTACCATGATGATTTTTATAAAATATACTCCGGATCGAAGCGTAAAGAATTTTTACCTAATTTGGAGGCTACCGTAGACATCTCATCCGTTTGGTATTGTACATGTGGCTGTAAGAATTCTTTATGAATAAAGATTGTTTTAGAAATTTTATGGATTTCTTTCGTAATGGATACGTGGATCCGATTTGCTTTCACGTAACCAGGATACCATACTCTGGACATTACGGCAAGTGGCAAAGAGGAGTGTGAAGTAACAAGACTCGTATTTGAAAAAATTATTTTTTAATGAAATATCTATCACAATCATGTGTTGCATGCAAAGAAAAGGAAATATATTCTGTCCTTAGTAGTGCAAGACTGCTCTTAGACTGAAACAGATAAAAAAACAAATTTCAATTAACATTTTTTTTCTAATTAGTTGCAATTTATTATATACTTACGCATTCCCCGAATGCAACAAATCGAATCCTTCGTTAATCTTCTCAAACGGCATATTGTGAGTGATGAACTCGTCCAGAAGAAGTTTCTTAGATTGATACTCCTTGACAAGTTTCGGTACACTTTCCTTGGATTTCCATCCTCCAAAAGCAGTCCCTTTCCAAACTCGTCCTGTCACCAGCTGGAATGGACGTGTACTGATTTCCTGGCCGGCAGCAGCCACGCCAACGATTACGGAAGTTCCCCAACCCTTATGACAGGCCTCTAAGGCTGCTCTCTGAAGTGATGAAGATAAACAGAACAATTAATTGTGTGGTTCAATCTACATTCTAGAACATAAACATAAGTATATTGCTAAGATTTATTCACCATTGTATTGACATTTCCAACACACTCAAAAGTGTAATCGAGTCCACCATCAGTAAGCTCGATTAGGACCTCCTGAATGGGTCTGTCGTGATCCTTTGGATTTACGAATTCAGTACAGCCAAAAGTTTTGGCTATACATAATAATGGAGAATTCTTATCAGTACCATTTAAAGTGTATTGAGATCAAAATTATAGCACAGGAAAGAGAGGATTAATGTGTATCGAATAATTTAAATAACTCAATGCGTATATAAAATAAATATCGCTAAGCCGATTATCGATACCGTTATATGGTAAAAATATGATCTAAACATATACCATACCATGCTCAAATTTGGCCGGGTTCACATCAATGCCAATGATTCGGGAAGCACCGGCTGCTTTGCAACCAAGCGCTACAGCCAAACCGACAGCACCTAATCCCCAAATGGCGCATGTTCTTCCAGGTTCTACCTTGGCGGTATTAAGGGCAGCACCATAACCGGTTGATACACCACATCCAAGTAAACAAACTTTATCCAATGGGGCTGAGGGCTCGATCTATGGTTTTAATTAAATGAGAATCATCTTTCTCTAAAAATTCTTAATTATATATACATACATTACCTTGGCAAGGGATATGTCAGCTACAACAGTGTATTCTGAGAATGTAGAGCAACCCATGAAGTGAGCTAATGGTTTCCCCTTGCAAGTAAACCGCGAGGTACCATCAGGCATAAGTCCTTTACCTTGGGTAACACGGATCTTGCTGCAGAGATTAGTTTTTGGAGATTTACAAAATTTGCAATCTCCACACTGAGGAATATACAGCGGGACAACATGATCACCTGACAAAGGAACATTAAATGTTATCGTATGCCATTTAGTATCACAGTAGATTATTTCCTGTTAAAATTTTTCTTACCAGGCTGAAATTCAGTTACACCTTCTCCAATGCTTTCTACAATACCACCACCCTCGTGCCCAAGAATACTAGGGAAAATTCCCTCAGGATCAAGACCATCCAAAGTATAAGCATCAGTATGACAGAGAGCAGTGGCAGTAATCTTAATTCGTATTTCATGTGCCTTTGGCGGTGCTACTTCAATTTCCTCTATAGTCAGTGGCTGCTTTTCCTTCCATGCTACAGCTGCACGACACTTGATAACCTGCGCATAAAAAATCATTTTTCTTTCTAGACCACAAATGGATTATCAATCATATTTTATAATATGCACTTTGATCTGTTGAAGTCAATGAGTATCATATATAAATGATAGAATTTTCATTGTATTTACAAGCTTATGACATTAACTATTCTCATCATATCCTAGATGCTATGAAATAAATCCTCCAAGTATATGTATAATAAAATGTCAAGGTTCAACTCTACATTGCTACAAAGAGCATATAATATGGACCCAACGTACTTTAAAATACAAGATACATAAAATATTTAATAACAATATATTTGATTAGAGTTAATGTTTAACGAATAGCACAGTGCTTGCTTCTATATTTCAAATGAAAAATAAAAAAGGAAAACATGCCTTTCCGGCAGTATCAGCCATACTGTAAAATCAAGAAGAGAAGCTCCGCACAGTAACAGGAACAGAAGAAAAATGATTTCTCACTGAACCGATTGAACTATAAACTTTTTGGATTACTTGCTCACTAATGTTGATTAGGCTCTATGTAATCAAGGCAATTCAAGGTCGCAGTTTGCACACAGTGCAATAACGATGATAAGGACATCTTGTTGCTGCTAAATAAACTAAATGGCATATTTAAAAGATAGTTTAAATTAATCAAAATAACATTTGAATTAGAAAAAATTTAATGCCGTCACTAATATATAGTATAGATTTAAAATTATCTATTTCATAAATCTAGAGAACAACTTTTGCTCGGCTTATAACTGATGAATGTTTACTGTATTAAAACATATTTATTACAACGCTATTTTACATACTTCGTCAATATGGGATAAAGTCAAAGAAAAAGAAAATGATAACGTATTTGAAAAATCTGTAAAGATACAGTAATGAGGTTCTTGAATTTACGAAAAAAAAAGAAAATCCTTTGAGTATTAAATGTTATGGAAAAAATATTCTTTAATGTACCATTCCAAGTTTCTCAAAACTTTTAACATGAATAAAAGAATTCATCACACAGATTAAATGCAGTCTAATAAACGTATGAACTACAGACGTAACAGATTAGTTGCAGTGTATCGTGAAGTAACTGGTTAACAAATTATATCATTATGATTATACGAGTGATCATCTTATATGGTAAAGGAATCATTATATTATATAAAAGTACAAAATAAAAAAATGATGCATTTTTATAAGTACAGTATATATTTAACATTTCATGATGATTTTGTATATAGCATTGATGCATCGAAACATTTTGACACAATAATATATATATATATATATATACATCATGCAAACTGTAGATATAGTCTAAGATCATTTTATTAGAATTTTATCCAGATCTATTTCTGAAGAATTAATAAACTTTAATTCTGTATAACATAAAAGCCGTAAATAACTATTTTAATTTGGCAGTGTAGTATTCATTACTAAACTCAATAATTTGAAATGAATGAGTTTAAGAGAATGAAAACAGCAGAAGTTCATAGAGGTGAACTGATGAAATTTTGTAATAGCAATATCAATGTTACACAATTATTTTAAATACGGTTGTCCATTGCTCCCGACAAATTTATGGTTTAATTTAAAATCATAATTTATTAACTTAAATAATTATTCAGTACATTAAGTCAATAAATTCATTTATTTAATTGGCTAGCGGTGCAACTTCTTATTTAGTTTTAAAACTGGAAGTGTTTTTATCAATGTAATGAAATGAGCCATCATATATCCAACTAGAGCACCTGTTATACAGGGAATTGGCCAAGCCTGCCATGGTCGATCCCAATCCAATGGAATCACAGTAGCACCTAGCCATGAACCGAGTAATGTAGCTTTCACATTAATTCTCATCGCTTCTAATAGTAAACCTGCATTTTGAGGCTGTGCTCCAGTTAAAAGTGCTAATGCGTTATCAATACCTAAGTGCAAGCTAGCTGGAATAAATGTTAATGCCGTCAAAGTAAGGGCAAGCATAATTGTTTCTTCATGATGAGTCAATAAAGGAGCACCGAATAATATAATAACAATGAAGTAAATGACAGATAATGTTATCATAGCAATACAAAATTTAAAGATTCCTCTAAGATTCTTTGTCCAGGATCTTTTGGACCTTGAAGAAAATCGTGATTCATTCTTGCCTAAAGTTATATGATCTGCTTGCAATAAAGAGAAAGAGAGCTTGATGACTTCTGCAAACATTAGTATTATCAGAATTGGAATAAATTTGTAGGTTCCCACGTTGTATAAATTGTTATTGAACTTTAGTAGTATCAGGATGCCAGGGAAATAGATGCAAGTGAAGGAGCAGTAGAACAACAGCAGTCGATTCCCTGAGGCATTATCATATCCCATTTTAATGTGGTATAATCTAAAAAAAATAGTTTAAATCTTATGAGCAATAAACAACAAAAAGTATTGTAGTTTATAGAAAAGATGCTTACAAGCTTATTTTGCAAAATTACAAAAAAATCTTGTCTGTGTAACTCAATCTAAAAGCACTTGGTTATAAACAAATACTCTCTAAAATTAACATTGTTCATTTATTTATTTATCAATGGATACATATAAAGCTTTTAAGATTGACATTCATTAATAGAATAAATAGCAGAGTCAACATTTTAATTCAAGTAATATGTTGTCACAATGAAAATAAAAAAACATTGAATACTCACATTTACTGATATATCACTATATCTTACCTTCTCTTATACCGCAAATTTTATAAAATTTTTTCGCAAAATTTAATCAAAATACTGTCCTGATACATTTATTAATAATGTTTAATTTAGGCTTACATTGAACGATAATTAAACAATTCTAAATATTACTTTTTCTCTATGCATTGCAAAATCTTAGCTACAGCAATCATCTGTGACGTCGCCGAATATAGCGTAATCTAGTGTAATTCTTGTATTGAAACATTTTAAGTATTATGTATATGATTTAAAGTGCATTAGATCGTGCTCCAGTTAGTGAAACATTCATATCATGGGAAAGAATAAACAAGCTCAGCGTACCAAGAATAATGCAAGGGTAAGTACAAATTTAAGTACATGGTGAAAAGTACTGTATCCAACATCCCTTGTTAACCTACAAATTTGAACGTTTCCTTCTGACATGATATCTGACATCAATTAACTGACATGTGTAGTATTATTATTTTACTATAATGTAATCATATGACTATGAATTTTACTTATAAATTTTATATAAATTATTATCCTTAGCCATCCAGCAGTGGTCGCAGTGCAGAACTCCTTGGAACTTCTATGCCAACATTTGTTGGTTTTTCAGCAGTCAAGGATGGAGGCTATGTGCCTGTCCTACCAGGCCTTTCTCTGAGTGCAAATGAAGTTGAAATTAATAACTTAGACTCTAATTTTCAATTAGTTTTCAAAAAGATGAACAAAAAAGATGCGACAACAAGACTAAAGGTGTGTGCAATACTTCATGTGAAATGGTTTATTTCAAATATAGAAGAATGATTCAGATTTTATGTTTCACAGGGTTTACAAGAGTTTGCTGAATTATGTCGTACTTCAGCATTAGCAGACGTTGAAAGCATGTTGCCATTTTGGCCTCATTTATACTGTCTCTTGGTCGTTGACGTCGAACACAGAGTACGGGAGGCTGCTCATTTAGCTCATGCAGCTGTTATTAGGCGTGTTGGAAAAAATATAGCTATTTATTTGAAACAGCTTGCTGGACCTTGGTTTACCTCTCAGTATGACACCTATCCTCCAGCAGCTTCTGCAGCCACAAATTGTTTCCATGTAAGCTGCTTCTTTAGTGTCCTGCGATTCTCCTATATTGATTATACTTTACTCCTTGGAAACACTTTAAAAATCGTAAATATTATTTTTAGGAAACATTTCCACCAAACAAAATCATTGATGCAATTGTTCATTGCCAGTACGAAATATTGTCATACATTTGTGACAATATTACGGTTCAAACGGCACAATCATTAAATACACATAAGTACGTTTATAATACTTATTCTTCACAGTATAATTGCAATTTAATAAATTATTCCTCTTAAAAGGACTTTCACTGCTGAAGAAATAGAAGCAAGATATCAGAGGGTTTTAGTCTCAAGTTTACAAGGCTACTGTCTCTATTTCAAATCAGTTCCACCACGTCAAATTGAAAAGACAAAAGAAATACATTTGAAAATTATCAGCAGTAGTAAATTTTGGAAGTTAGCCAAGCATGAGGTACCACTTATTAAGACAGCATTCTTCAATGTTCTTACATCCATAATTGAGTATGCTAGTGAGTTATTGAAAGATGAAAAAAAGAAAACTATAACTGCTATCATGAATAGTCTGGATGAAACAGAACCTGGACTTTTATCTGCAGTATGGGAATCAGTTCTCGTAGCCATCAATAAAATAGAAGTAAGAACTAATTTGCTGTTCGCTATTCGATACGCTAGAATCACAAGTAGTTCAAAAATTATTCTAACTGTTATATATCTTTTTATTTAAGGATTGGCATACAGTAGTAAATATGGAAAAGCTGGTTCTACCAAAACTATGGAGAGTATTAAGAAATGGTGGTCAGTGTTGTGCTACTGTTGTTTATCCAAACTTGTTACCTTTTCTTAGTCAATTTCCAAAGCTTAACGTTCTCAAGACAAGCCTGTATACAAATTTCTTCGACAATATGCGCGAAGGGTAACGTTAATACAGTCATACTATTAAAAATTAGATATTTTACGACTCCTCATTTACATAATATATCCCATCAGATTCTCAGCAAAGAGTGTGCTCCTGAGTCGCTCAGAAATATTCGCAGTGACTACATCATTTACCGAATGTTTACGTTACGTGATACATCTTAATAGCAACGATAAAGAGTTATGTGAGAAACTTCTTCAAGAACAGGTACTTGCAACAACGTATTTCACTTTAGTAAAATAAACAATATCAGTGTATTCAATAACAACATACAGCTAACAGTAAATTTATATTCCTTTCAGCTGATTACAATGATAGAATTTTGTGCAAAAGAAAATACTCCAATTAAATCAATTCTATTTAGCCAAATCACTCAATTGGTTCGATATTGGAGTAAGAATCGTGATAATCCAGAATCCAAATTATATTCTTATTTAGTACAAGAGTTTTGGCAATACCTGGAATTAATGTTTAACAAACTAATGGATGATGCTAATGAAAACTTCGATACGATTTCTACAGCCAACATACGCAATTCTCAAATTGATTTACTCCTGACACTGAAAAACGCACCAGTTCAAAGTCGTAAAAACTTACGAGTCAAGTTTTCCGACAGAGAAAAATTGGTGGAAACTCTATCTCAAGACAGTAAATCCAAAGCGGAAGATGACATGATGTTCCAGAAAGAACTTAATGAGTTCGTAAACAAAATCTGTGTAACATATTACAGCAAGATAGATGCTAATAGCTTCCGACAAAACATAGGGTATCTGAACAAACTTATGTCTAATTTTGAAAGCAAGGATCTTTTTGTAGCACTGGCTAAACTATATAATGCAGATGCAGATCTCTTTGACTTTTATAAGGATAACTTAAAGGATTGGTTGATTGAGAAGCCTGATGAAATAGAAACTATCATCGAATTTGTATTCAGTTTAATTAGGCATATGGATTCACCTGGCAAAAATGAAGTATTAACTTCACTAATAGAGGTACGAAAGTGGTCGGTATTATCAAAATTAAATTAGAACGTTTATTCGACATATAAAATACATTTATTTTATATTTAGTTGAACAATGACAAGGTATTAAGACATGCTGTACATTGTGCATTATCGAAAAAGGATAATACTGACACTATTGTGAAAGAATGGTGTGCAAGATCTAACGTGACGGCTCTTCTGATTGATGTTGCCAAACAAATAGCCTCCAATGATTCTTCTACTGACTCAGATATTAATAAGAAAATTCTGATGCTAGCTTTTGAAACTTCAAATGATGGTGGTATGTGCAATTGTATATGAATGTAGCACTTTATTAATATATGTTATATATTAGTATCACACACTGTTTCAGATTTGTTAATTAATGAAGAAGTTACGAATCACATTTGTAATATATTATGCGATTCATTGAATGAAAATACTCAGTCTGATATAACGAATCTTGCTGAATTAGTATCACAACTTTTATCGCTTATATGGACACACAAAAAACCCGAAACTGGCTCCATTCGAATGCTTGAATCCATATTCGAATTAACTACCAGACATAACTTTTCTGATAATTCATCAATTTCACTGGAAAATTTACGGTTGACGTGGAAAAAAGGTCTTATTGAAATTTCAAAAAAAATTTCCTTGACTAGATTTACTGATCTTGCAAAGAGATTTGCCAACGTTATCTGGAAAAAAGTTTTTAACTCGTAAGTTGACTCTTATTCGTATAGAACATATTTATTGCACAATTTATTTAGAAGATAAAATGGTATCTAATATTATTTACAGTGAAGAGAATCAGTTTACAGATATTTTAGTCGATGCAGCTACAGATTTTGTAGAGGTTGTAGTCAACAATAGTTGTAATTATCAGCTTAACGACGTCAAAGACGTAATCTTAACATTTTTAACTGAGTCTAACATCAAAGAATGTATAACTGATTTTACAAAAATAGTTTTGCACGGTGAAATTATGTCTGGTAATTTGTACGTATCACAACTCGTGCAAAAAGTGCGAATTGGCCAGGAACTTGTATCTATAGATTTCTCTACGGAAGTTTTCTCGGATAACATTGAGAATTCTTTGAGATGGGCTTTATTCAGTGGAAAACTTCAGAATAAATTACTGTCAAATATATCTGAAGATGACTGTAATGATGATGAAAACGATGAATTATACAATGTTGAAGATCGCAATTTACAAGAGAAATATTGTATGACCCAACACGCTTTTCCAGCTATTGAAGAAATATTGACAGATATTGTATACATTGTTACACTGGGACATTTATACGGAAATTACTATAAATCTGTGAGATAGCAAATAATTATAAAAAAAAGTTTTAATACTCGAAAAATTTATTATACTATTTTTATTACAGACGGAAAATTATAATAATATAAATGTACTGCTGTCTTCTCTCAAAGAAGAGATCATAAATTTACAAGCATACGTCACCACGTCTCCATACTTACAAGAAACATATAACCGGGCTTTTTCACAATTTGAAAAGTAAGTGTTCTTAAATTTATATATAGGAGGAACATCACTGAATGTTATAAATTTGTATCATTTAAAAAGAAATTTCTTTACAGTCCACCAATGTCGCACGTTGGTATTTATCCACATATACTTCAGCTTTGCTGTTCAGAATCTTGGCACAGTGGTAATCCTGCAGAATATTTCTCTAATTACAATAGCAATGCTATTTCTATTGCCGATAACAAAGATGCCGTAGAAGCTTGTCTTCAAGGTATCCAGGTAATTATAACTTATTCGTGTTCAACTTGCTAATCTGCCTGCGATATACATTAATCAGTAACTTTTAAGATTTTGTCAGCACATTTAAAATTTGAAGACGTTCCTTTGTCCATGGAAGATGATTTAAATGCAATGATTATTGCAAGAAGTATGCTTACAAAAGTGGAAGATGATACACAATTTCTGAATATATTGGACAGAGTGATAAAGCGATCCCAAGAAAATCCAAAGTTTCTACAGTTCAATTGGTTCGTGTATTATGATTTTGATTTTATACAAATATTAAAAACCTATTAGCAGTTATGTAATAAATATATGTTTTGTGCGATTTACAGTAACGTCTATCAAGTGCCTTGGGAAGAATTGACAACACCGCTGGAACTTATTCGGCTACTCACCAAATTAGTCAAAACAATTCCCACAAAATTAACATTTGCTCACTGGGATTTTATTTTAATATCTGTTGCGTCTTGGCAACTGTCTGTAAATAAGTCACAACGTTACTATAATGATTTTAATGTTCGTACTAAAACAAACTTTTCTTTCTAGTCCTTAGAATTTAAAAATGTTTCATTCAATAACTATTCATCTGTAGGCAATAGCATTGATAATTGCTGTCAGTGAATTATATTGTGCAGTTCAAAATTTAATGTGTAAACATGAAGCTGACCCAATTGAAGAATTGCCACCAACGTTATTGGATGAATGGAAAAATGTTTTTGCTGATGATTTGCACGTTGGTATTACATCAGCTTGGATGCTATATGCAGGTATATTAATGCAAGTCTTAATCAAATTATCTATTTCATTTTTCAATGATACATTATTGCTAATGATTCAATGTATTTTAGATTTATCAAACAAAAAGGATCTTTCTTTCACATTTGTCATTCCTTTGGATTATTTGGGTGAGGCCATGCGAAATATTGATAGTGGAATATTTTCAAGGAAACTTAACAGTACTCAAGTGCAATCAATCACGTCCGATCAGATCCTCAAACTGTCATTGAAATTGTTGCAATCTCCAGTTCCAAATTTACAGCTAAGCGCTTATCATGCGTCGAAACATATAATTCCGGAATTCGTTGAACGTGACAAAGTGATAATCGAAGCGGACAATTTCAACCCTGATACTTTGAATATAAAGAAATTTGAAGGTGTACTTTTATCTATGCAAAATATAGTGAACACCATGCTTATGGATTTCAAGTAGGACACACTATTCTAACTAGTTGTTTGAATTTCTTAATAATTATTACATCTTGTTAAATAATCTATATTTTCGTATCATCAACAGATTATGTGAAACCATAAGCTGCACTATTCAACCATATACTGATTCCTACACTTATACTGTAGGATACTTATTGGCATGGGCTATTGTTCTTGATATGTGTTCTAATGCACATGCAGAATTGCGTTATCAATATGCCGAAGTACTCAAGTAAATTTCCATTATAAACTTAATACATAGTTTATAATAAATAATTAAAAAAAAGTTTAATTAATTAATCAAATATAATGAAATTTATCTCTTTCTAGAAATGATCCCTTTACATGCCTATTGAATAATCTATTCAGATTGATGCCCGTTGAAGTATTTCAAGATAACAAAAACAAAGCAACAAAATTGATTGAAATTTTCCGTACATCTCCGTCTCTCAACTTTGCAGGTACAATAAGTTTAGCGATATTTCTTGTTTTGCTACTAAATTTAGAAAATGTATATATAATTTGAGACATTTTTTAGAGAGTTGGACTGAGGAAAGATTGGATCATATAGTATGTTGGCTATATGCAAATACTTTGAGACATTTACCAGTACTTGTAAGGCAATGGTGGAGTATAGCTGATAGTAGAGTTGGTGCTACCGTAGACAAAATTACTACATTCTATGTTAGTCCTATGCTTTGCCAGGAGGAGTTATTTACCAATAGATTGAAAAATGTAGAAAATATGCAGGTACTTAAAACAGTATTAATACCTAAGTTTTATAGAAAAGAGAACGAATAAAGTCTGTAAATGCTGACTGAATTTAGGTAAGAGTACATCCAGCAGCTCGTGAAGTAGTAGCTGTGTATCAAGTAGAAGAAAATAAGCTTGAATTAAGCATGGTGCTCCCTAAAAATCATCCGCTGGGAGCTGTCACGGTAGAACCCAGCCATCACATTGGCGGTTCTGCCAACTTACGAAATTGTCACATGCAGCTCTCAATGTTCCTCACGCATCAGGTATAATCATATCTCAGGTCTTGTGTTTTGCGATTTAACATTATAACAAGATTGTATAACGACAAAATGTTTATGTCATAGAATGGTTCGATTTGGGATGGTCTTCTACTTTGGAAAACAAATTTGGATAAGAGATTCTCAGGTGCTGAGGAATGTTGTATTTGTTTCAGTATATGTCATAGCAGTACTTATGCTATTCCAAAACTCTCTTGCCGAACATGTAGAAAGAAATTCCACACATCCTGCTTGGTAAGACATAAAAGCTCCTTTTGTCTTAGGCATACAATAATTGTGGTATATTTGTATAATTATAAATTTTCCCATTCCAGTATAAATGGTTCAACACAAGTCAGAAGTCCACGTGCCCAATCTGCAGAAACGTATTTTACCGTTAACTATGTGACCATCAAAGTTTTTGTGACATGAAAGAGTAGTAGTTAGCATATTTAACAGTTACCTCATAAAGTAATTAAAACATGTTAATTCTATGTTTAGATATCATAAAGCATGTATTTAATCTTATAAATAAATTGCGTTCGTGTACCAAAGATTATAATATTTGTAACGTGATGTTCTTAAAAGAAAATTAGAAATACGGTATAATAATTTACAAAACGTTTATTTTCGACTCATTTAAGAACTGGCATTTTGCTACACAAAATAGTACAAAATTACCAAATCGCGGGTGGTATTTATAATAAAAAGATATATCACATATATTAATGTAAAAATAAAAGTTTGTACATACACACTAGTATTTCGTCACGTGCACATCCGTAAATAGTATCGTATCAACAATAACAAGAATCGTACATAGAAGAATTTTAACTTCATTATAAGATTCACAAAAAAATACTGAAATTAAGTTTCGCAGACATGTGGATAGTAGTGTCTGAGAGAAGTCACGTCCACTAGGTAAACCGTATTTAATTATACAGCCCTAAGCGAAATGTCACTCATACCACCAATGAATATTGTCGTTCAAACGACCAGAGAAATTGTACGAACGAGTCGAACAGCACGTAATAACGTAAGGATGCTGATCAGTACTGATACTTGCACGGTACACAGAATTGGAAAGGCGGATTGGTGGGCGGTGCTTCAGTTACGTACGGCCAGCTTGTCTTAAAAGTGTTACTTTGGTTTAGTCCAGTTTAGTCGGATAGACTGTCATCTGCTGTCATCATCGTGATTTTACTATTTGTACGACTTCTGTGATATTCTACAGTGTAGATTCTGAGTAGATTATAATTTTTTAAGTAGAACACAATTTTGGATTTGTTCTATATTTTCTTGTAAGATTGTCCTTATTTTATACTTATATTATATACTAATCAGCACCGTCTATTGATAGTATGCAATTGGTATTTTATCTTTTTGCGCGTACCTCTGTAGAAATACATTTATAGGAACATATTTATATATTTTTAATAACGTTGATATGGAGAAAAGAATGAGATTAAATTATTAAAAATTGCTAGTACTAATTTTACTTGTTACTATCTAGTATGATTAATCATATTTTTAGAATCTTTTATATAACCTTTACAAACAAAGTGTACACGAGTTGCAAGAAGTATAAAAGGATATTGACGAAAAAGAACTTTCTTCTGATTGCAAAAAATATTTTTTAAATTATATTACAGATGTGGTATTTGTATGGTTTCTTTTTTCTTCATGTTTCAGAAAAATGTCACATCTTTTATATCAGCGAACTGGCTTGATTGTTCAATTAAGAAAGTTTAGTGGTGCAGTTGTACTACGAGATGCAAAACCATCTTCTGTGAACACTACATCTGCTCAGAGAGAAAGTCCATCTGTTTTTGGTAATTATTTTATAGATATCAATTAAACTATTATTAATATAGGCGTAACAGTTTACTTTTCTTCAATTTATGTTTCAGGGCCACAAATGCATAAATTAACAAATTTTCAGAAGAGAGTACTAGTCTTTGCTAGAAGATACCCTAGTATGGCAGATGTCCCTGACAAAGTAACGTAAGTAAAAATTTTTGTGAAAATCTATTTATACTTATATCAAATTCCCTCTTAGTTAATGAATGAATTGGATTCAATAAAGAAAAACAAGTATTGTTTGTATGCCATTATGTTTGAAAATAAATGAAATTTTTATTCATACAGTACGGAGGTCCTTACACAATCTCAAAGTAAAGCAAGAATTCGGGCAAGTAATTTTCTATTAGTTTTCACTGCATTGGGGTGTATCTTTATGATATACAGTGGAAAAAAAGAAGCTGAACAAGGCGTCTCATTAACGAAAATCAATCAAGAATGGCATAAGAAAATTAATGAAGAATATAAAAAGTCTTTAGAAACTCAGGGGAATAAATAAAATTGCAGTATGTCAATGTTCTTATATATATATATATATACACACACATATATGTAGTAATTTCTTCAGTGAAAATGGGGAATTTATGTGATTTATAATATTTAATTGGTTGTAAAAAGAAGTAACATAGATGTGTTTCAGATTAATATTTTTTTAGTATGAGCTGTGCTTCTTATGAATAAATACGAAATTGTATTATTTTCTATTAAATGCATATATTTGAAATATTTTGTCATCTTGTTATACAATATAACAATTATTATAATATAACAAATTTGTACAAATCATAACAAACCATGTATCATATTTACAATGAAGCGTTTAAAATATTTCCATATAGTTGATGATTTTGAAATATGTATCATAGTTTATTGTCACTATTTCGACTTTAAATGTTGGCTGGTTACATTTCAGTTTTTTTGCGGAATTTTTAAAAGTAATTATAAAAAACTAAAGATGTAGGAATAATAATTCAATCCGCAATATTATTTATTGCAATAAATGTATATTTTAAATGGTTTCTTCCTATATTATACTTTCAATTAGTGTATAATAACACCGATGCTATTGAAGTTATGAATTTCTTCATTGTACATTTTCTTCCTTTTTCATTCCTGTACAATTTATAAATGCCAAAAGTCATCATATTTTCAAAGTAGTTAACATTCATGGTGTGTGATTTGTTAATCCTTCAGAACTACTACTTTATGTTCTTTGCGATCTCCAAGGATTACATAAATTTTATTTCATGAATCTAGATTTGGTGGCTTATAGTATCCACGACATCTTTCATAATATACTTGAGTTGTGCGTTTTTTCACTACTTCCTCTACACTAAGTTCTGATTGCAGTAAGCGCAATGTATTCTGTTCTTTTCTTAGTTTTTTAAGCAGTGCTGAATCTTCTTGTCCAGCATCTTTCTGATCTTTTAATTGCTTCACTCTTTCTCGTGCAGCATCCAAACACTTTTTGATAGCCACTTCTCTTTGAGCATGCCCTGACTGAATTTGTTGAAATAAATCTTTACATTTTACAACAGGGTCTGTTTGGCTTTTGAATGATTCCGTGGGTATTGAAGTATTGAGCATATAAATTATTTTATCATCAAGAAGCCTCATTTTCTGTAGAGTATCCTGAAAATGAAAACATTATGATATTAAAGAAATATGACAAACTTCTTATGTTAAATAAGTGAACAAATGATTTTACATGAACTACATTGTAAATACGAAGATCGTGAGAATGAATATTTCAAAATAAAGAAATCGTCTAATGAATTATCATGTCTAAAAACATCCGATTATGAAATAGACTAATCTTGTATAACCTTTTAGGTCTCATATTCTGAAATTAAAATACTCTTGACAGACTACAATGATTGAATCAACAGAAGAAGTATTTTCATTAAATATTCACTGTTTATTGAAAACAGTACAATTTTCTCTCTTGCCGGGATGTAAACTGTGAATATCACATTTCGACAATTACTACAAAAAGTTCTATATGACATCGTGTGGCCATGGAAAATCGACACAATACTGTAATAAATAATTTAGGTATAATGTATATTAATTCCATATGTTTTATTCTGAGAAATACCTGAAATTCTAAAAAATCGCCACAATCCATGCTCGAAGTGGCTGCCATCTTTGATATAAGGCCAACCAAGAAGTGTGAGGAAATATGGCGGAAAACTCAGAGAATCTAGAAAGGAGACAATAAAGCACGAGTATAGATGGTAAAACTCAATATCAATTTTGTACACTACGTTATACGGTGTTATACAGAGAAAGTAACAGTAAGGTACCGTCGGGAAGTTAGCGTCAAAAGATAACAACTTATGGTTTTAAAGCGTAAAAAGTTGCTTCTTAAATGCTAATAACTCCTATACTGGACCCTTGAGGCACTCCTCTTTTCCATTTTCAACCTTCCTTATTTCTTTATCGTTCATTCTTTACTTTCTTATTTATCTCTTTCCTTATTTCTTCTCTATCTTTGTACCTCTACTTCCTTACTTTTCTACTTCTTGACTTCTTTATTTCTATCTTCCTTTTTGCCTTCTCGTTTCACTCTCTTTCCACTCATTTTCCATTGCGCTTGTTTCGCTTCTCCTATTCCTTTGGTTCGGGGTCGAGCATATTCATTCGAGTAGTCATTTGACGGTAGTCCTGGCACATGTCCCCCATTGGGGATACAGCCATAAGGAAAGGAAGGAAGGAAGGATTTGACGGTAGTCACTGGTAGTCACCCTCAATCACCCTGTTGGAATAGCTACATGTACAGATTATGGTGTCGGGGATTGCCCTTCCGCCTCATCCGCTGAGCTTATTCAGTGGATCGGGCCCAAGTTATGGCCACAACAGATAAGAGAGCTGCTTCCAAGAGACCGGCTTGAGGAAGAATGAGCGCTCCGAGTCCGGTCACTGCCTTAACACATTAAGAACCGCGAAGAAGTCTGCAAGACATACGCTTGGGACCGGACGTTTTTGGGAAAACTTGCACGTTACTAAAATCATCATAACATTTTATTTATGAAACAATTTTTGTGAAACTAAGAAATTGTAGAATAGAATACAGTTGTAGATACAATGTATCAAAGTAGGTGACATCTAAGAACAGCGTGTAGAAAACAAGTTATCTCGTGATCGGTTCGTAACAGATGGGGCGCAAAATATGAGAAAACTCGTGAGTGGTCCAAATGTTAAACGCTCCCTCCACTCGCCGGTTTCCGCCCACTCGACCAGTCCAGCGCGACGAATTTGCGCGCACAGAATTTGGGGCAACTTCCAGTTGATATAAATGTTCTTGGCCAGAATTTCTTATTTCTAAATGTTAATATCTGACTTTATTGAGTTACTTAATTATTTTAATATTCCAAATACTTAACTTATTAATATTCCAATTTGAGCGTAATTTATTTTCGACATTTTACAATTTTAATTCAATTTTTATCTACTCCGTATGTTTTGCGAGATTTTTATAAAAAAAAGCAGCTGTAACTATATGAAATTTACCACTAGTTGTAGATCTGGATGCCAGATATTTACGCATAGAGTCAGGACAAACAGGCAAGTAGATAAAGCCACGAAGAAGATATATATAATTTTCTATTTCAGTACATAGTATGTCTCCACGTTCAATTTTCAATATCTCATGATGAAAATAATATATACTCAATTTTTAATTGTAACTTATATTTTTACATAAGAATTTGCGTACAAATCTTTCGTCTAGAAATACGAAAGTTATAAAAGTTATAGAATAACGAAGTTAGACATTGTAACCCAAATTTTTAAGACCTTTCTTCATAGCAGCAACACTTTTCGCAGGAAGAGGTCTAAGAGGTGGACGAGGTGGTCCCACATCGATTGGAGTCAAAAGTTTCATGGCGGCTTTCATGGTCTCTACCCAAGTACCTGAATCGGCCAATAAGTATGAAATTTATTATATAAAAAATAAAAAATCACATCGTAACCTATCATCTGTAAAATAATTTTACCGTCGATCGCTATAACTTGAATGGCCTTTGAAAGCTGTTGCTGCTTCTCTCTGGCCTTCATAATGTCGCCCTCAAGTCCAGCATCCAAAAGTTCCATTGCAAGTCGTGGAAACATATTAACACTTGTAGGAATGGCAGAATCGATTCCTAAAGCTAACGCGCCGGCAAATATCTGAAAGAAATCAATAGTCCAAGTATTGCCTATATACTGAATAGATTATTAATAATTATATAAAATTTGAATTCGTACCTGATCACTACCGAGGAAAATCACATATTTATTATTATCAGCATGAACAGCTTGAGTTCCTTCCTCAAGATTTGTGCTGGTAAATTTAATACCAACAAATGATGGAATTTTATCTCCAAGCGATTCCAGGAATTGTCCCATATGAACTATAAAATGTATTGAATAATTATATTGATTATTGTTGGTCCAATTTCCAAACTTACTGTTTACATTGGTATACATTGGAAAATGATAGTACAGCAAGGGCGTCTTAGGCGCTGCCGCCCCTACTAAAGTTAGGTATTCTACTAATTGTTCAGAATTAGCGGGTCTGAAGTAAAGTTCAGGTAAGCAAAGAAGAGAATCCACTCCGATACTTTCAGCGTGTCTTGCCTGAAACATGAAGTCTGGTCGATTAATTCAAATACTTTTTTCCGAATTTTGAGATACCTCAAATTCTGTCTACACGACTAGGGCGTACCAGTTCAAGGACATGCGGTAATGGAGCACCGCCCACTTGAATCATCAAGTGTTGTTTAGTAGATTTTACTGCGGTGGCCCAGGCCTCAGTAATGGTTTTTCTTTCAGCAATGGACAAAGATGGACCCTCGCCACTTGTTCCATTTACTACATAACAACAATAAATTATTAACATGGTACAATAATTCTAAGCTCATTAAATTAAAAAGGTAATTAAGAAATCAGTGATAAATTACATACATTTTATCGCAGTGTAATCTAGATTCATAAAAGCTATTAACATTAATATTACATCATGGTTATCTGATAAGTCACATACACGATTTTAAGATAGATAAGTATTTTTACAACGCTCCTTAAAATTTCCAAAAATATTTATATATGGATTTAGCCTTTATTTATGTCTTGTGTAAATTATAAATATTTACCTAGTACACCTTTGACACCATTATCAGCAAGATACTGTGCGTACGTCGGAATGACATCAGTATTCAAAGTACGCGCACTATGGAATTATTATTAGACATAAGAATAACACGTATATTGTATAATATCGTTACTTATTACCTGTCATCAGTAATTGGTGTCAATACCGGTACCACGTATCCTCTGTATGTGTACGGTAGGCGCTAGTAAAAAGAATTAAGAATAAGAACGAAAAAATAATTAATTTAACATACAAGAATTTTTATTTCGTAAAAAGAAAAGTAAAGAAAGTAATTAATTTAACATACAAGAGTTTTTATTTCGTTATATTTACCGGCATGGCTGGAGAATTGAATCCGGATTGCTGATGATTTAATTACGATCAAGTCCGAATAGCAATCAGAGACAGACTAGTGCAGATCCACAGAACACATCTTTATTTGTCTCAGATACTCTGCTGATAACTCTGGCCTCTACAATAATGCGTATGTATGCATAAGATTGTATGTACACCTGGCTAAACTGTTTCATATATCAATCTTGTTTATCGTCTTGAATAATATCCATTCGCATACAAAAAGAAATCCACAAATATTGAGCTGAGTTGGAGTATAGTCCCTCTAGTCAGAGTTCGGCAACACCCGGAAAGGACGCCATGTTTAGGGCTCGTTTGGCGCCGCCATGACATTGCGCGAGACTAGGTTGAGTCTCGCGCCAAGTACAGGCAACCCGCCGTACAGGACTTAACGCTACCCACATTACACAATGTGAGTCTCTCCCATATACGTATTTACACACACACATCGTATTCTGGAAAGAGCCCTAAAAATGGCGGAGCCAATCAGTAAGAGACCCACCATTGGCCGGACTCTGACTAGAGGGACTGTAAGTTGGAGCAGGATGTGGCGACATAACGAAACAAGTTGAACCATTAATTCATAATTCATAAGGTACGTACGTGAAATGGACGTTGCAAATTAGATGACCGTGCGTTGATGTATGAAACTTGTTAACATACGTTGGAAAGGTAGAAACCACCTTAGCCGGTCCAATGACTTAAATATTAAGGAAAGTCAATTTTTAAGAAACTTACGAGGCTTGTATGTGCACTTTTATTGGTTACACTTGGCGTTCATCAAGAATCAATTATTTGTTATCTAATTAAATGAAAGTTAAGACAAATTTTAGTGTTTATTAGTTTCATTTGTAAGATATTTAATCTCTATGATAGGGGATATTGAGATTACTGAAAATCGCATATCGATGACAATAACATAATGTTGAATGAGCATTTGTTGATTTTAGATAAGAAAAATTTCGTAATGGATTATATTTTTGTTTTTATTTTTTGTCTGATTACTATATGGCAGATGCCACTTCTACACTATTCATTTGACAGTTGTAAGCAGTAAGCAGTAAGAAACTGAATACTGAATACTGAAAACTGAAAATAAAGTTTCTAATTCAAATTCAAATTCGCGTCACAACGATACGACGCAATGGGAAATGAAGGTTCATTAAATAAATAAATTCATAAGGTCTCCAAGGCCAGAATGAGTCAATAGTAATTATTATTTATAAAAAACGCCTCTTTATGTTTATTTACATGTAGATATTTCAACAATGTTAATAGTAATATTATCATTAATAATTTGTAATCTATGCAGCCGCATGATGTGGTTAGATGTTCCTCAAAACGAATAAGGGTCTACGTGTGTAATTACGCCAAAAAGTTTCTATGCTACATGTAAATGTGATATCTCACGAGCCACGTATATATGTATACAGGGTGTTCCGCAACTACCTGACCTGGTGGGTATGGCGGTGTTCGGGAGGCTTCACTGATCACGAAACGGACCTTCCTTTTGTCCGGGAGCTCGCGGGTGTTCCCAAACTACCTGACCCGGTGGGTATGGCGGGTGTTCGGGAGGCTTCACTGATCACGAAAATGACCTTCTTGTTGTCCGGAAGGTCATAGTTTTTAAATGGGAGCAGGTCAAAGTTGACCAATCAGAGGGAGACGTCAAGAGAAACGTAGGCACCTGCGAACTCTGAGTTTTCTTCCCTCGCTTTTGTTTCTCGGTGACTTCGGGCAGGATGACGTCAGCCGAAGACATGCCTATTGGAAACAAGAAACAAGCTACCGAGCAACAAAAGCGAGGGAAGAAAACTCAGAGTTCGTAGGTGCCTTCGTTTCTCTTGACGCCTCGTTCTGATTGGTCAACTTTGACCTGCTCCCATTTAAAAACTATGACCTTCCGGACAACAAGAAGGTCATTTTCGTGATCAGTGAAGCCTCCCGAACACCCGCCATACCCACCGGGTCAGGTAGTTTGGGAACACCCTGTATATACTTCACCCTGACGCGTCTATATCAAAGAATTCTCATAGATAATACGTATCGATCTTTTGTAGCACGCGCATAGAACGCAGGACTTAGAGTATCAAGGATAGACGCGACAAACAAAATTGGTTACGTGCGACAACACGAGGCTAATTGATAATAAAATTGCGACATTATGTACAGATGAATTAAAGACAGAATTTCTTATAACCAGGAATACCTGCATCCCGTGGCGTCAGTAAGGATACAAAATTATGTCCCTTTGGCGATAAATTAATGAAGATGCGAAAATAAATGTCGCAATTGATTACACAACTCGTGACGTCACCGTTACAAGTAACCTTAATAGAAATGGTCCTACGATCGACATGACACCGCTGTCAAGTCTGTCTGTAATTAATATGAAGTTGCCTGCAGCCTGGCCAGCCTGGCTGACGACGTAAACTTCTTTGGCTGCCACCCCGTATAAAATGTATGCCGTGATGTTCCTGTACGCATAGTTTAGTGAGGTTATGTCATATGTATGCTAAAGAGATCCTCGGATATGTACAGAAGAAATATGTGTCCAGACGGTTTCTCATTGATATTTGATTAATTAAACCTTTGTAATCTCCCATTTATCTCTTTCGTATCGTTTGGCGTTTCGTTCTTCTTTTTATTCCTATTCTTCGGCTTAATGTTTAATCTTTGCTTCGTCTACTCCACCTCGTACCGCCACTGCCGCCGCCATTATTCTCTCGCGTCTCGTTTAATCTTCATGTAAAATTGAAACTTAATACTGCTCGTGGTTGATTAAGAGGTCGGTTAATCTTATGAGAATGGTCCCAAATGTTAAAAGTAGTAGTAAAGTTTTGATAGTAATATCGTAATGAAAGCTTCGCCATTTTTGTTTTCTTTCATATACTGTTTTAACCTCCTATTTATTTTTAATCTTCACACTCTCTCGTTATCTTATCACACTATCTGGTTATCCTATAATGCAATAGAACGATTTTTTTTCATCTAAAAATTTTTTTCCTCTCGCTTAAAGAGCGAAACACGACTCGAAGAAAAATATCGATTTTCAACCATTTTGACGGAATGTAATGATATTATTCGCGACAGGAATCCTCTTTGTTTTTTTTTCTTTCCGTCTGTACCTTATGGCCGACTTTAACTTGCGCACTCTGAATATCTGTAATTGGCTAATTTTTATAATATTAATTCCCTGTCGCGAATTTTTTTTTTTTCTCTTGCGTAGATATATGTTAGATACGTATCACCATGTGGACTCTCAGAGTGTGATAAAGTATGGCGAATAAAGAAAAAACATTTCAAATTCAAACGAGAAACGATACATTAATCTATTTTCTAGTGTAACGATACAAGGTAGATATGATCGTTAAATAGTAAGATATCGTTAATTATATGAGATCTTGCACTAGATTATCTAAGCGAGAGACGTCGCGACGACGTACTCCTCTGTCAGGGGTACATCCAGTTTCTCATATACTTTTTTCTTTTTATAGGTCAATTAACAATTTTCATTAATCTCTTTGGTAATTGGCTCATCGGGCGATGTATAACTTGCCTCAAGTGACTATTCGTATCCGCGTGTGAAACGCATACACTGGGATAAAATCTTCGTGGCTTCGATTAGAATTCACAGGGATCGTTTTGTATGTTAAAAAAAATGAGACGTTAGAAACGGTAAAATAATAATGACGAATACCTATATTCGTAGTCTATTCGTTGCAGAAAAATAACGTAAAGCCAAAAGTTTATGCCTTCGTTGTCTCACGTGTCACCACGTAAGACTCTTATTAGTTATACCGATACGAAAGAATTGCACGAAACTTACAGAATTTATTGCTTCTTCATTTTCTTGTTATACGGATTTATCACCGATAATCCTCGAATCTTTCTATCTGCGCGAAGCCATCTCGGTTGTTTTTTCTTAACTCGTAAAAGATGTCTAATCGATTTTTTGTTTACCGTCAGAAAGTTAAAGACGATAGATGCTTCATTGTAAGATCTCGTTATTGAAATCTCGAAGACGATACGGTGCCATTTATTTGAGAAAAGGCACGCAATTCCGTTGGTCATGAAGATATTATGGAAAGGCGTGCGATTGGCTGGTGCACGGCTGCGTCGATCCGTCATTTCTTTGTATAAGAAGGACAGTGGAGATCGACGAGCCCCAGGTTCTCCACTAAGACCTCCAGACACGAAATTTTCTTAAAGAAACTTTCTTTAGATGTAGGGCGGCATTTAGGATATCCGATTCTCGTGACTCTTCTCCGTCGGAGTGAACCTCTCTTCGGCGACCGGGTAATAGCAGTCGATGCCTCAGTCCCCGGGATGTAGGGTCGGACAGAGCTTCAGCCACAGGGACCTTTTCTTTACTCGATCCTGGTAAAGATACGGATCGGCCTACCGAGAAGCCCTTACTGAGCCTGTCCAAGGTAGCTGGTAGAAGATGTCGTCTAGGTATGGCCTGCTCTCTTTCCCTAAGGATAAATCTGCCCAGGGTCTTCCAGAAGGCTTGAGTACTGTATACATTTTCATCGTCTCGTAACACCCTAAGTTGTCTACTTCCACTACCTACTGCCCCTGCACCACCCCATTCGAGTTCCTCGACCAGGGCGAACTTCATAGGATCTTCCATTCTACGTGCTTTCACCAGCGCTTGGGCCAGAACATCCTGGGCTGAACTACTGACTGGTACGCGCAATATGGCGTAGGGTATCTCGGGTGAAACGTTGTATATGCAAACGAGGAAGGTATCAGCCTCGTCCCATATATGGGTTGATTGATCTCGTGGAGTGTTATCGCTGAGTTTCGAATGCCCTGCTGTACTCCTGATGGAGGCTAGCCAAGCTCTACTACTAGGATCATCCCCGACGCGTTTCAAAAGGAACCGACCTTGACCTTTCCACAACGCCTGCGCCTGAAGAGGATGCTCGGTCGGGTCTAGGACTCTTTGGGTAGGCAGCTCTTCGCGATCCCGCTTCTCCCATCCTCGTGATACTTCTTCTACGAGTATATAGTCGTCAACGTGATCTGGGGATATCCCAGCTTTTTGCAGAGCTTGTAGCATCACTTCCTGCGTGGTACTCTCCTGGGTGACCTTAAGTATTGTATATGGCTCTTCCGGTATTACGTGATACACCATCAGGAAGAACATTCTTCTCTTCAGCGTTACTCCGCCGAGTCCAGGATCTACGCTACTCAGTTTTTCAGGTTCCTTCCCAGAGGATGGCCTCTTGGACTCCTTGTGATCACGACAGCACGTGTTGTAGTCCAGACTTTCTTCCTCCAGTCGAGAGTATATGAAGAGCGTCGAAAGGGCTAGGGGTTTATTCTTGCAGGAGCGTAACCTCACGTGTCTGTATCCAGGTCGAAGACACTTCAGTGGTAATACCCTCTGAGCTATCAGATGATGAGAGCTTGCCTCGACTATGCTAAATCTTAAAAAAGCGAGATCCTTAAACATTACTTGGAAACAGAACTTCTCGTTCCAAATTGGGTTGAGCGCGTTGTTCTGGATCACTTTGGTTTTGTGTTTGGCACAGTCTATCGGTATACCTACTAGTTCTATCTCAACGTAGGTGCTCGTCAGAAGGTTTGACGGTGACACATACTGTCCTGAGACCACGGAGAGGGTTAAGTGGGCCGAATGAAGCCCATCGAATTCCTTATCCCAAGGATTAAATCTTCTGTACATCATATGACCCTTGTCCCACATTACAGACGGTTTCCTTACATAACCGCACTGTCCATTCTGTTCAAACATGGCAGCATTCAAGTGCAGCGCTGCATCGTCTGTTTGGTAATTCAGAGCTACCATCTGAATACCAAAGGCCCAGAATATCACGGGATTGAAATTCGAAGAGTCAATTCGCATTCCAGCTGGATAGGTACGGATCAGCTGAGTCTCGGCATGAGCAACTACTCCTAAGGGTTGCTTCCTGCAGATCTTCTTTGCAGCACTCTCGTTCAAGGATGAACATTGGAAGCAAGCTGGTACTCCACGAGTAGACCTGAATAGGTATTCAATGTTACTGCCTCCACTGGCAATAGATGCCGACGTAGATAAGGACTGAGGTGATCCTGAGGATGATGCTATTCCACTGGTACCTATTCCAGCTATACTGTGTCTCTGCCCAGGTCCGGTATGCCCCGAGTGGCGTGTTCTTCCCGTGGGACATGTTCCCGGTGTTGTATTCAGACCACGGAACTTAATTGCTTGAAGATAAATCACCAAGTCTGACAACTCCTTAGCTATTTGACTACTTTGCTTCTGCGACTTGTCGTCCACTGCTGGATCAGACTTTAAGCGACCATGAGAAAGTTGACTAGCTCCCAAATATCTCTCATAGCTTGATATTGAATTGTCTGTAACGAAACAATTATCTACATTCAATAATATCTCAGCAGTTTTTATTTCAGCCAACATATAGGGCCCTACAATGATATAAATACCAACCATCCACGTTATCGTCCTCGTCATCATCTTCCTCGTCGTCCTCATCCTCACTGAAGTATTCTACTACCGAAGTACTACTCATATCAGTTCTCATCTGTTTCATAGAGGAAGCACGATCGGTCATGAGCATTTTCCCACGATGAACAAGTGGAGCATGAGCCAAGGGACCACCGGGATCGACAACCAATTTCTTATTTTTTATAAGAATTCTATAACGTAACTGCGACGGGGAAGGTAGTTGTGGGTCTTCTCCAAAGTCCGTGTCAAAAAGAAATTTTGTTACCAGCTTCTCTCCGAAAACCGTCTGCAACCGTTAATAAAGTTTACACTAATGCGATTAAGTCGGAATTCAATTAAATACCCTCATAAATTTCATTCGTCTGTTCCCCATTGAGTTATCGAACTTCCATTTCATCGATTTACCTGAAATATCTGCGCCATGCGTGCCTGCTGACTTTGCGAGCAATGATTCTCTAGCGACAAGATAACCGGATATGGGGACGTGACGAAGGCGCTTCTATCAATTGCCTCGACAACTGATCTAAATGGTATTTTGGTCGTGAACGTGTGTCCATGATAAATCAGAGGAGAACCATCGTCGCCATCCCAACAGTCAAGTTCTACGCATCGACATCCCGTCAGAAGGACCTATGCAAACATTAATTAAACCCATAGAATACCTTCTCGTTACATGGTCTATGATGCATCAGGATGTTGGGATTCACGTCCACTAAAACGACTGACGATATTTAAACGTCTAGCCTCACGTAATTCACTTCTCTTGGGTAATGTAATTCGATTATTCAGTCACCATAGTATAGGAACTGATTACGCTCGTAAATTTATGTACCTGCGAGTAAAGCTGTACCGAAGATTCACCCTTGAGTTGGTGACCGGTCAGGTAAGTATTGTGAGAACTTGCTATATAATACTGGGATAAGGGTTGCTGCATCTCACTCTCAGAAGGGGTTGCGTATTCATTCGAAAAGGCGTAATTGTCCTTGTCCATCATGTACCGAGCGAAACCCTCGAAAGACAAACACCACTGTATACGTAGGGCCGGATCCGGTTCGTGTCTCTGAAGTGATAGTAAAGGAGTCTCGCTGTATTAAACTTTATATCTGCCCGTAGAACTGTTTCTATGTACCGACTAGTTCGATTTAACACCCCGCCCATCGCTTGAAATTGCGACACTAGATTGAAATCGTGATCGACCCAATAAAGACCCTTTTACCTTGACCAGAGCTTTGATCTCCTCATCCGTCAGCTTCTCCTGTTGTCGCGACTCCAAGAACTTCGTGAAGGTCGCTAAGGTAATAACTTGAGACTTTGATGTGTCTACTCCTGAACAGTTGTTCACTATACTCGCTGCGGCAACGGCGTCAAATATTTGCTTTTTATGTAAATTACTGGTGGTTTTGTATTCGTGAGAGTCTATAGAGTTATTTCTCGTGAGAAGACCTGACAATAAAAATGATAAAACGATTATCGGATCAATTCCACACTTATATTGCGTAGTGTAAAAATTATTAAATATTTTATTTACCAATTCGTTGTGGGGTTGCATCACTTGTTTGTCGCAGTACGGATGGACGAGCATTGAAGTCCCTGAGGGAGCCATCGCTCTGGCTTCGACATGTGATAGCCAGCTGTCCGAAGAGGTCCCTCAGGTCCTTCCTGGCTCTCAAACTGAATGAACGAAAGAGCGCAACGAATTCAACGAAGTTCAATTGCGTTTCATACATGATTGAAGTGGCACGAGCCTTAACTTGCCATGGAGCTTCAGAACCAGCGGTCATCCCGCTCGATCCATTTCGGTCCTTCTCTCTGGCAAGACATAATAAACTACCATCGGATTGATTATACGGTAATCAGACACGACAATTAACATTATTCAATAATATCTTAACTTCTCTTACCTCTGTAAACTAGAATATGGTAAGTTTGGAGTAACGATTCTTTCAGCTGAACCTGGTGGACTTCGTGGTGTTGCACGCTCCCTGCTGGATCTTGGGGATGCTGGTATGATTCTGGTTAGGGATTCTCTGCTGCCAGTAATATGTCGTATAGGTGCCGTCGTTAAACCACCATCGGACGACGAGGAATCGTACTGCTTAAAACTCAGTTCCTGCATAAGATAAAGAAAAATAATAGAGACCCCAAGAAAATGAAGAAAAGGTACAGATGGTCCAGGGTAAGTCTAACCTTCGTTAAAGCATGAATATTTCCAATAGACTTGGTTTTTTTTCCTTTTACATTCCTACGACGAAATGTCCCACTACCAGTCGGTGACAAGGTACCAACACTGTCAGTCATCGACCAGTCGCGACCACCAAAGACTCGAATGGCATCAGCTGTCATTGGCTCAAGGCAACCCTCCTCGTAATACAGTTGTAAATATTTTTCCTTGAGCCAACGGGATCTTCTGTCGGTAAGTTGTTGTTGACGTTTCAATCCTCGTAGCATCCAACAAAGTCCCATGTACCATATTCTACAAGACAGAAAATCCTTTTTTAAATCCATCCGTTGACACATTTAGTCACGAGGTTCAAGTGACAAAATAATATTCACGTGGAGTCAAAAGTATAAGACACATGATATTGATCATATTTATTATTTCTTAAATTAAGGGTGGGTAGGGCTGGTTAATCCCTTGAATATTCAAAGGTGGCGCGCAATATCGATTCGAATGCGTCCCACCCGTATGTGCAGTTCATCTGTGCATGACTGCACTTCTACATGCATTAACTAATTACCATGCAACCTGCATACTCTGTCATTCTTCTACTTAACCGAGCAAAGTTCGCCGAGTCCTAACACCGAGTGCTAACATAATCTTTATTGTAACGCATACAATATATTCGTATAACGCAAACTAATGTAATGTAATGTCACGCCATTCCTTCATCAAGAGAGATCATCGAATGAACGATCAAATGTGAATTAGGGATGTGACAAAAGGGGTAAAATCGTTGGCGATGCGTTAACTTCGCTCAATTTTTTGTCGAGAAAAATTTTGCTTTTGGGGTTTTACCATTGACTGAGTATATTATTTGATATGTATTTCATTTTTTTTCCTATTTTACTCTCTTTTTATAGGAATTCAACGAAACATGTGAATACCACAAACTGTGTGGGAGGTCGTTTTGGACTATTGATCGATCCTCGTAGAATGGGGCCAAAACCATTTCAAAAGCTGCATCAAATCGTGATCCACGTGAAAAGGCGGAAGTCTAGTTAGAAAATATAAAATTGGTCAGTGCGTTTTTCTACCTTTTTTTTTTTGTTAACGAAATAAAGGAAATAAAGACACGTCTACCAATATCATTATCTTCGTGGGATATTTTTTGCACGATAATATACAAAATGCAATGGCAATCTGTATAAAAAAGTCAAGATAATTATTATCGTATAAGTACTCGTAATAACGTGATATACACATATTACAAATTTCCTTTCTGGGTGGCAAATAATGTATGAGAGTTCATTACGGTTAGTCTATATGGTTCACACAGGGATTACTGTTACGCAAGAGAGATAGAAAGAGAGAGAGAGAGAGAGCGAGAGAGAGAGAGAGAGAGAGAGAGAGAGAGAGAGAGAGAGAGAGAGAGAGAGACAGACAGGGATTACTGTTACGCAAGAGAGATAGCAATCTGTATAAAAAAGTCAAGATAATTATTATCGTATAAGTACTCGTAATAACGTGATATACACATATTACAAATTTCCTTTCTGGGTGGCAAATAATGTATGAGAGTTCATTACGGTTAGTCTATATGGTTCACACAGGGATTACTGTTACGCAAGAGAGATAGAAAGAGAGAGAGAGAGAGAGAGAGAGAGAGAGGGAGAGAGAGAGAGAGAGAGAGAGAGAGAGAGAGAGAGAGAGAGAGAGAGGAGGCCCTAGAGAGATTATAGCAAATGCACTATGAAACAAACATTTAATTTCATTTTAATTAATAAGGCATTCAAAGCGCAACGCACAATATTAAGGTTCTATTACATTTTAATGACAGCCATTATGTAATTCCGTTATGAAACAACCAACCTTTTAGATATCTACTAGAATTAAAACGTCAAATTTATGAAAAGACAAGGCAAAAGCACTCCAGCTATGGCTGAGCAGAAAACAGAAGTGACAGAAATGACGGGTATGAGAGCTCTTGCGCTTCCTCGCAACGAGTTGAACCGATTTTTCGTATCGACATGAAGGAAGAAAATCCGAGGAAACAACTCACTTGCTGAGGGCTGGAGGGCAGAGTAGAAAGATGAGGCGATTATCAGAGATAGAGGTGCCATACATCATTCCAATGCAAGAATCCGAACCAGGTAGTCCGTATCTCTTGCATATCATGCGTAAGTCTGCCTCCCGATCTCTCTCACAGCATCCGATCATGACCTCTTTGACGGAACTGAGGTCGAGATATCCATCCTCGAGGGTGACCGCGGCGCAATCGGACTGCTGACTAGCATACTTGGCAACCAGACCAGCTGGTACAGTATCTTCCGGATTGATAGTCAGCGAATACTCGGTGGACGTAGGTGGTACACCGGCAGTCTTCAGAGGACTCCAGGGTGGCTTCTCCCAGATGAAGGTCCCGCAGGCTCTATCAATCCTGGCAAAAACTAGGGCAGTCCTGGAAGTCCCACTTTCGCAGTCCCAGTGTACCAGGGTTGTGCCGTGATGTAATACCTAGAAACAATCAACCCGTAAACTAATCCACAGAGATATAGACACCCTAACTCAATAATACAATTCTTCTATAGGGTAGTGTCATGAATCGACCAATGTATAGAAATGACGAGAGAAATAGAAGGGCTGTGCCACAAAAGGGACTTGTATCGGAACCTTCCGAAATAACGGGGAGGAACGTTAGAAGCGACTGAAACAGGATAAACGTCCGTCGTTATCCTCGCAATTTTTCACATCACCGAATATACTGGTAATGACGGGAAACCATCAGGCCTTATACCCAAAAGAGTTCTCTAACTTTAATACCCAGCCCCGTGTATACAACGAAGATCATAAATACAATATAGACCTTAACATTAATAAAGAAAATAAATTCCTGAACAATAATGAAGAAAGTCAACGATAGTCGACGGCGACGGTATAAACACAGCAGGTAGTAAGGGCTGGGATCAATGAGGTTACCTGCAGGAGATGAAGATCCATTCCCGTGTGCGGTGCGGCAACCGGAAATAGGGCGACACCATGGTCAATGGTTAGGGGTTGAACCGGCTTGTAGGTATCAAGGTCAAGATGATAATCATTCTCATCGCACTCTTCAGCCATATAAGTCTGCTCCAGGGCTGTGGTGTGTATGCTCAGTGTACGGTGAAGGGAACCAGTACTTGCGTCCCTGCCCCTCGCATGATGATGCTGATGGAAACGGGCGACTTTGTCAAGGACCGCCTTCGTGTCATTGCTCGTGTTCGCGTTGACGTTCACCGGGTCGAGCCTCCTTAAGGAACTACCCCTCGAACTCCACCCTGACGGTGCCTCCGTATTACTTTCCAAACTGATCCTCGCGCCAGGCGAGGATGAAGGCACGTTTTCGAGGGTTTCACCCTCTTTATCCTTACTGCTAGCATGCAAAGTCTCTTTACACTCGGCCGGATACTGAAACAATGAATTGTACGTGCTATTAGAAATCACAGACACGATTGGAAGATTGTTTCAACAGGTTACGAAATTCCAGGGGGCGATTAGTAATCGAACGAAGATTGGAAGTCGACGGTCGATAATTCAACCATGACAAAATCAACCTACACGGCAGTTGCATCCTAGAGGATAAACTGTGAAATCGCGTTACTCTCTGTATAACTGTCGAGCAGACGGACGTAATGAGATTTCATGAGAGGTCAAGCCAGGAAGGATGTTCACCAGATTCAGATAGTTTGCTCTTGGTTTATATATTACTTGCATGCACATGGGGATGGTTTGTCCAGAGTCTGGCGTGGTCACAATTCTCTGGTGATAACTGTTAAGCTCAAGCTGGAGGATAAAATGCTATCTTTTCTAATTTTCTTTTCCAGATCTGTTTCTCTTAACTTTGAAACTTGTATCTATAGGATATGTAGTCCTCACGTGTACCAGGAGGTCGATGACCTCGTTACTGCTAGCATGCTAACTCCCTTTATCCTTACAATCTATTTGCTGCCAGTACGAAACAAAAATAAAAGGATATTGCGTGCGAGTACCAAGATAATGGAGTTCCCAAGGGAAACGGTACTGAAGGTGTATACGTGGACGAAATAGTATAGTCAACTGTGCTCACGGTATACAAGAATACGAAATGGCGATACTTTGCTTTCTGCAACAAGAAGAACCACGAAGATGGTACCAAGTTGTTAATTACATTTACAAGGTATCCTAGCTCTTGCGACGTTCACCGCGTATCCGCAGCTTCTTGTCTAGGTACGTGCCAACCATTTTCACTATCAATCACACTGAAGGTAAGTTATGCGGATGCTGTTCGTTAAAATCACATTAACCATAATTAAGAAAATTCACAAATCAGAAAAATCCTATTCGGAGTGACATGACTGTTTTGCATTTTTTTTTTTTCTGAAAGTAGGTAAAATATGTAATTTTATTTTTTATACGTTACTTAAAGTTCTTAATGAGTATCAAATTTGTACTTCCAAGCTCAACGGGTGTCGTTCAACGAAGAGAAACGAAGTCAGATTCGGCCGATAGTTTAACCGATCAATATCAATTGTCAGAAGCAATTTGATTCGGTGCCTTTGTGTTCAAAAGAGTCGAGCAAAGCGGAACGGCTTTGTCCAATGGCGGCACTTTGTCGTCCTATTATGAATATGCATATCGAGGAGCAGGAACGATCACGATGATATTAAACGACAGGAGCAAGTAGTTTCCGCCGGCCTACAACGATCGTAGCTGCTGGAGGCCGATAGAAACCCCTGCACCAATCGTATTTCTTTCGTTCTCTGTAAATTCTATTATCTCTTCCTTTGGTGGGTTTCTCGGTCGATCCAATAGCTCTGGAATATTAATTGTATTTCTTTTCTTCTTTTTGAACTCCAAAGTCGGATAAATAAAGCGATTTAATTTTACGTTCCTCGAGGACGCAATCGATTACCGTCAGGTTTGTAATACATGGACCTAAAGTATTCTTGAGCTTGGAGGCCTTAAAAATATACCGTGTAAATATTTATCAGGCTGGGTAGACGGTTCCAAGGTAAATCGAGTGGATCAAACGAAAGGAACCTTTTGAAGAAGTTGAAAATATCGACGAAAGATTCAAGGGACAATACCGATTCGTTTCTGCATCTTTTACCGTACTATTTCTTTATTTATCCAACCGACGCGCTCTTTCTCCTCTCTCTTTGCATCGAACAGGCACGGTACGCCCTCGATGCTTCCTGGGAGGAAACTCTGCCTGGATTTTGCGATGAAGTTCCTTGGTAGTCTGCCAAATCGCTCGTGTACCGCTCCGTGAACCTATTTGATCCCAGAACTTTTTCCACGCTTACCAACGTCCTCGAGTTCGCACCTATACGTTTGAACGCACTAGGGAAGTCAAGGCGTTTCCCAAAAAAAAAAAAAAGAAAAAAAAAGAAAATTAAAAGAAGCTCCTACTACACGCTACACACAATACACTACGAGTACACTGATGACCAGCCCAATTATTTTAGGCATCTGTGACCTCACCTTCGAAGCCGAGGCGATGGCTTCGCGTAGCTCGCGCAGAAAAGCACCGAAAAAGGGCACGACAGGACATTCCGGCATGGCCAGGGCACGTGCGAGAGCGCGTTCATATTCGGAAGACAGAAGCGCTGATGAGAGGTATTCCAATACCGGAAGTGGCTCGTTCACGCTCTGCCAGAAGGGCTTGAGCTTATTCGACCTGTGAAGAAAAAGAAGATGTGCCATTAGGGATAACGTTAGGGTGCGAAGGGCGTACGTGTAAAAGTGCTGAAGGGATAGAGAGTGAAAACAAAAGGAGAGAAAAATGAAAGAAAGGGCAAGGGTCACGACCTCTGACATCCTCCGACCTAACTCTCCCAGTTGGTGTCTATATGCTCTACGTTGATATATCCCCCAGGACCTTCGAACTTGAGCTGAACTGAAAATCGCTCGTCTATAGTTTGACAAGCCGCAAGGAAGTCCAGTAACTTGTCCAAAGGGAAAAGGAGGACGAAAAGGATGTGCCTAGAATGCTCCTTCGGCATCACAACGCAGTCACAATTATGCTACTACTGTATAACCCGATACGTTGCAAAGGTACGAATTTATATACTACACGTTTTTTTTTCTTACAACTTTGCTACCCCGGTACTAGCTTGCTCTCCCATCTTTGAAAATCAAGGATATCCAAGAATTCAGAAACAACTAAAAGAAACTGCCGGAAGACACATTTATGTTCTGTCCCAACCGTTATTGTTATCTCGCCAAAGATGGTGCGACAGATGCGTCCAAGATCCCTCATAAAAAAAAAAAAAAAAAATCAAAACGCTCGAAAGCAACCTCCAGCTTTCCTACGGTAGATCACAATACATAGGGTGACACTGTGCTCAAAATTTCATAAGACACTGGATAACATAATAGCCAATACACGTAGTTATGGAGCAGCCATAAGAAAGAAAGTTAAATATTTAATAAGAAAACAGAACTAACGTGGTAGTGACGCGTCGTGGACACGTGATACTCGTCCTGTCTCTTTGAAATTCGCGCGATATTAATAAGGCTTGATAATCTGTATAATCCGAGTAAAAACTCATGGGTTTACGTGGTCTACCGCTTTTAATTACCAGACATTTAAATTGATTCGCGAGAGCCTCGTTAGCTACCCGGAAAATAATGGAGTCGAGGCCTCCTGCATACTCTGTTAAACATAAGAATGAAAAATATTAAATATAATGATGTACAAGGGATGGATTCTCATAACGAGCTGGTTTCTGCTTTGTTGAAAAATTAATAATTTTTTATACCGAATCATCCATTTTCAACATCCTCAAACGTTATCGTGTTTCTATATGGGATTAATACGTCATCATGACCTTTTATCTTCTTATACATTGACAGAGTATACAACTTTATATTAAAAAATGAGAACTGCATTAAAGATGCACAAAAAGGAAAAAGAATCTGTTAAAATATATCAATGCCCAGAATCGTATAAACGTGTCAATTTATAATTCAGCGTATATAGTACGTGTACATATGTATATGTGTATATGGACTAGTAAGAATCACGATATATTTCTTATCATCATTAATTACAATGTCCTTTGTGAGATGTATTGATTCATCCTAGCGGTGAACTAGTTTACTAGCCATGCTCTGAGGAACTAACAAATTTAACAGGCGTCCCGACGTCGCAGCGTCTCTTTGGAAATTGTGTTTATATTTCGAAAAGTGTGTTTCGAGACTTAAAACTTTCATGGACGAAGGCTGCAGCTACTGTACTCTGAGTAACTAGAGAGATAGAGAGAGAGAGAGAGAGAGAGAGAGAGAGAGAGAGAGAGAGAGAGATAGCAAGAGTTAGAGGAGTGACTAAGAGAGGAATAGACAGACCAAGAGAGAGTTCATTTCGTTCGGGTCGACGTTATACGGGAAGAGACTGGTCCAGGTCGCCAGTATTCAGAACGCGTAAACCAAGTAGGAGCTGCTGACTACGTCAGCATCTTGTGCTATTGGGAATAATTTATAGGAGGATATAGGTAAAATTTTTCAGTGGCTGCAGCAGGAAGTACAGATTGTCCCATCCCTAAATTCATCCTCCACACATTAATTCCATTCATGGACCATGGAACGCGTTTTCATTCAGTCCTCAGTTCTCATTTTCTTTCATCATTACTTTCTTATATACATCCGGTGCTTTTAAAGAAGGTCAAGTGGCCGAAGGAAACCGAGGTAAGAGCATCGACGGGAAAAGTTTCTTCTTAAGAGTCTAAGATAAATTCCAGAATTCAAAATGTAGATTTAGTCCATGGCGCGGGACTCCATTAAGTGCAAGGGGACGGAGGCGGCCTAGAACAGAAAAACAATAAAAGTAAAAAATACCAGGAATGACGAAAAGCATGTGAATGAGGCAGAAAAGTGTAATCGGCCATACCAAACCCAACGTTATCTCGGATGTTATATTTATATAGATATATTAGACGAGGGCGGTGCGTCGTCGGGAATGCCAAGTGGTTGAACCATGTGACGTCGCCAGAAAGCTTCCTGGGAGCGTGAGACAAACGGGGCAGAATGTCTAGATCGTAGACGGAAATTGAGGTGGCTCATAAAGGTTTACGAACGTCAGCCACCGGGGGAGGCTAATGGAGAGACGCCTGATGTCCAGCAAGAGTAACAAGCTAAAGGACCCTACCTGGACTTCATTCTCTGACACCGGCTAGTCCTGGTGCACCGGGTACGCGTAGGATACGAATCAGGAATGTCATTCAGTTTTAATAATGCAAGCCAGGAGATATCTGTACGTTATAGGACGTTGTACGGACCCCTCACCTTCCATATTTCAGGGGCCGACTTCCTGCTGACCTTTTGAGGTACTTTTTGGTGAACGACCCCTCGTGATTTCCTCTCTATATAACTGCGAGCATCCTCCACTAGAGAAAATGGCAGGAAAATCCTTGTACTGGGAGGTTGAGGAGGTTCGCACAATCGGTGCTTTTATTTTTCAGTGTAATAAACCTGGAATGGTTACGAGGCAGTAGGTAGGTTGAGTACTTAGTCGGGCAGGTTCTCTGCTATGTACATGTAGACCCTATAAAGTGTATCGGATAGAATTCGAGCCCTTTGCCCTTTACTGTATATCGTTAGGTAAATTTTGCCCATTGATTTCCACAATTTCCGCCCACGTCATTGACGTATTAATTCCATAAGGAAAATTGTACTATGCTAATAAGCAACTTACATACCCAGTACTCTTTTGAATTAAGCATGGTCGAATTTAAGTAACAGGCGTAACAGTATCGTGTAATCAATATCGTATCAATTTCGTTTGCTCCTAACATCCGCGTCGATTAATTCCTTTCTATCTGATATCCTATACCCACTACGAAAGTGGTGCGTAACGCATTTCGACATTGCGTCATCGTTAAGCCATACTTATTGATTAAGTTGTCATCGACAGGCCGATATTTCAGTTCGTACAATGTGCTAATGCCTACACAAGCTCTCGATTAATTGTCCTATCAAGCCTCGCGAGTACTGGGAATCTCATGGAGGTTATTCAACAATAAGAAAATTCTATAGCATTGAGAAACCTGAATATAATTAATGGGAAGATACCATTCGCATATAAGCACACCCTAGAGGGGAATTTCTGGAATTGACTGCATATCTTTCCCTTCTTCTCTCGCTTATCCCTTTATCGGTCCATGATCACGTACGTCCCACGACACAAGGAGACTGTCAAAATAAATTTCTTCGAGTTTACTCTGTCTGGCTGTATACGAAAATTAAGGTCGGACTAACTTTGAAAATTATTCATACTTCTTCGAAGCATATGATTTATTTTGGCTTAATGAGAAGATCGAAAAGGGACTATAATTTTGGCATCAGGCTCAAAGGGAGAGTCAGGCAAGAATCACAGTGCAGTTTTTCAATTGTATCGTTCGATTCAAGCTGGATCGATAGACTCCACAGGGTAACGTCTTACGATCGATTCCACCCTTCTCTTACTTGAGACCGGCTACTATCTCCATGGCCGAATTAAAGTTTCCAGTATTCCAGCAGGTCTGCGCCACTCGCAGCAGGCAGGATAGCACAGCCTGTCGTTCTTCTACAGTAGCGCCATTGGTGATGACGTGCGTCACCCATGAGCTCACCTGTGGTTTGACAAAAAGAAAAAAGACAATCAAACAGAGTACAGAGATCGGTGCACGTACGTGTCACAAAGGATCGTTTGAATATTCCCGCCAATAGCCGAGGCCAGCGTCGAAATATCGAACTCGGGCAACAATGACTGCCGCATTTACAAATATTTCACGAATACCGTTTACATACACGCCGTGTCGTCGCATCCGTCATAAAGCGGTTAGTGCATTTGCGGCGCAGTTGAATTTACGGGCGCATGCACTTCCGGAAAGTAAAAATCGATCGTTCTGTAAAACAGCGTCACTTATAATTCCGAATATTCACGCGCTTCGTAAGCGCACAGCGATCTGAGTCCAACCCCGAGAATGTGTCACCCTATCGGAGGCGCGCGAGCCCGTTTCGTACGGAGCAGCAAGGTGTCGAGTGTATTTCAGTTATAACGATACAGTACGCAGTCCTGTATGTATATCCGATACGATTAATGTATACGAGCGTTTTGAAATGCTGAACCCAAACGATGCGTAACTCTGCTTGAAATCCCAGAATTCCACAGTAACAAAAGTACGTATCTTTGAAGGCAAGAGTAGTTCGTTCCACCCGCGTAATTTGTCCGGTATCAAAGGGTTCAACCAGGCCTATGTGTGCCATGCCAACATTCCCGGGATACGTGGGACCTAGATTCGCGAGTGGCGGCGAGGTCGTAGAAAGGATGCGACGAAGGCGCGAGTCTGGTCTTCCGCTGGCGACGCTATTAGGGTTGAGCTATTAGGCTGGCGATGAAAACATTGCAAAGTGGTGGTGGAAGTCTTCGTCATATATCTCCGAGAGATGATATTAATATCACCCGGAGTGGATACAGCTGCTGGTTGACGGATGCAGTCGAATAGTTGGCAACCTTGAGGTGAATACCGTATCGTTGATACGTAAAGCCACGCACACGTTCCTGCCACGTATAAAGTGGGACGAAGCGTTGCTGCGAGGCTAGAGAGAGCGGAGACACGACGTCGCACGAGGACCACCGAGGATGGCCGAAGTGCGAGCAGGTGCAGAGTATAGGAGTACTAGAAGAGTAGGTACCTCATTAAAGCGGTTGATAAGGGTCTGCACGGAGGAGAAGACTGGAGTCAGACCGCTCCCAGGCCACGAGGCTTCGCCCTCGGTTTGCGTCGAGCTGTTGGTCGTACTGGGGGTGTAAGAGTAACTTGGCGATGGCGGCGGTCTTGGCGGCTTCGGCGAACTCACGGTTAGATCCTGAGCCACGTGTCGAAGGTATTCGCTAGGTGGTACCTGATAAAATAGCTGATACTCGCACTCCGTCAATCTGAGGGCCACTTCCTCGGGGAAGTGAAGCAATTTCTGCAAATCCTCCAGCTCCTCGGAGCTCTGAGGCTGCTGCGGCTGCGGCCGCTTCTCCAGCTCTGGAAAATTATATATATATATTAATTTTTTTTTTTTTTTTCATTAGACATTCGCTTTTCCCTCTATCATTTTATTTTTACTTTTGTCTATACTATTTCTCGGGTCGATTTGTCACTCGGGTGTTTATTGACTGAACACCTTAGAATTGTCCTGCAGATTGTCAGATTTTTTTTTTTTTTTTCCATAATAAGAATTTCAGCTTCCACGACTCTCTATCTCTCTTTCTCTCACTCAATCCATCCATAAGCACTGGGTATTCTACTTCGAGACTATTAAGGCTAAATTAAGCTCTCATCATTGTTGATGTCGGTCTGAGTATTGTTAGGTATAAGATAAACATTGAAGCATGAATTCGCTAAAGGGGACGTACTTGTTATGTAAATTGTGAAATCTCGTATGATATGTCGAATCAATAGTAACTGAGGAAGGCTTGACGAAAGTACCTCAAATATTTTATCTCCATTCCCAATTAGAATTTACATGCTCGTGGGATATTGATCTTGTAATTTACGCTAGTACGTTTATAGTAGACTTAGAGTAAAATAATTTAAGTTCGAGCTCTTGTACGAGTACATTTTGAATAGGGGATAACAAGGCTCTTACGTGACGCCATAGTACATTCACAGAAGCGATCGAATAAATAGTCCACGAGCTCGGCAGATTTATCCTGCAATTACATTCGATAACAGGCTGCCCGTCCGCTAGAGATCGTCTGGGTATCTAGAGGCCATACCTACTTCCTATTAGCGTCCTGAAGTTGAAAAATAGTAAGTCATCTAAGAATGTAGAATAATGAAAAACGTCTGGACGGTGACGAATGACGTTAAGCGGCAATGTAAATATCCCAAGGAGCGCCTTAAGGATACGTAATATTTAGCGACAGCAACTCGGGACGATTTTCGAGTTGAAATCCGTGTCTCATTTCTTATTGGTGACATCCACCATCGATTTACGATTGCACTGACGTTTCTCGAGGGAGAAAGGAGGGAGCTAAAGTGACAAAGTGGAAAAAAAGTGAAAAAAAAAAAAACATGCAAAGATTTAACTTTCTTATACCAGAAAGATCAATAAAACCAAAATTGATGTTGTAGCCTAGAATTTTTCGTGTTTCGCCATTACGCAGCCAAAAAGTTTTATTTGGATACGCGAAATCCGGCGAACTTCGAATTACGTAGATCGATTCTTTGCCACGCATCAAAATTTATGGAAGATCCACCGAACAATATATGGTATATTAGATTACGACGGAACCACCGAAAAATTAAGAGTATTTCCATGTAACGATTCGTGCAAATTCAAATACGCGTATAAGAGCTACTGGGATGAACTTATGCGCGTCTTGTTGAAGTCTTAATTGAAATATAAAATATATTTCGAAAGTGATTTTTTCTTCGAAACGAAGTTTCGCGGGTGAATTGAGTTTATCAATGGAAAGCGGTTAATTGGATTAATTTAAACGTTTCCGAAAAACGAGTTATCGACTTCCGTTTCTATAGAACTGTAAAAAGCATTAAGCCCTACAAGAGAGGCGAGTGAATCCGGTAATTACGCGAACGTCGCGTTAATTCAAGCTTGTTTGGAGGAACGAACGAAATTTCTTCTCTGCCGCGTTGATGTTTGAGAGACGAAAAAAAAAAAGAAAAAAAAAAAGTAACAAATGCACACGAACATGACGTTTAATTTGAATAATTTTTGTTAGCCTGTTTTTTATATTCACGCAAATTTAACATTACCTGAAATTCGGTATTCCGATGATTCTTCAAATATAAAACTGGCAATAAAAGTCTCAGATGCAGCTTAAACTTTTGTGCGAGCCCTCGAGATGCTTAGGATTCCCGAAATTCTCCTGAACGTATACAGAGAAGAGCACGATAACCCGTTTAGCTCCAATCATAAGTTATTAACTCGCCAATAATACATAATTCTTCCCAACCTCCCCAATCAATTTTACCCTAGGGGGTTAAAGGAAAAAAAAAAAGTACTTATAGAATTCTCTCAAGGATATAAAAAAAAAGCATCCACCTTATCAAATCCCATTTCTCAACGTCTCACGTAACGTAGCTCAACATTGCGCCATACCCAACTCACGTTGACCAACAGGGAAATATTTATTCTGAAGATAAAACAGTCTCATATATATATATATATCATATATAACAAACTAATCAGACAAAAGTCTATCGTCCATAACTATATGGAAATTTGATTGTAAAGTCAACCTTATCAGGTAATGGTGCGGCCACGAGGGGTTGGAGGATGCGAAAGTGGCTGTCCTCAGCAACGTTAACGTCGACGCAGCGATCTCTGACGATCGTGATGTCCTCCGAGGACGTCCCGAAGTCTGTCCTTCTAAGGTCGTCCTTGCCGAAGCACCGGGACTCGCCAGGTTTCAGCCTGACGGCCGGCGAACAGCGCCAAGCACTCTTTTCCGGCTCGCATCAAGACGGCGCCATCGATAAATCCAGTGAGGATGCGCCTCACCGACAATTTCCCACCTTCAGCCTTGGAAGCTACGCATCGTCGCGACCCTGAAAGCCAGATAAAAAAGCAGATTTATTATATTGTCCTGCCAGACGATTTATAGTCTCAGGAAGGAATTCTCCGTTAGTTACAGAGACCAACCGCCAATAGGGACGTACCGTACCGTTACTAACTACAAGCCTGTGAATTGTCTACACTCTCTTTTTCCCCCCTAGCCGTCTAGATTCATCTTAGAGGTATACCGCTCCTGGTTCGAGGGTTCGAATTGGTAACTGATAAGTCAATTTACTTGGAGCTCCAATAAAGTTGGCTTATCTCATTTTCTCAGCGTTACCCACCGCGGTTGTACTGCTCCCCTAATTTTTAAATGCCATACTTATCAAATTTATCTCTCAAAACTTAATAAGTATCATCCTTCAGCCAGCTACCTGGACAAGTATTTTCTCCGGGAAAAAGGTCGAAGCCGCATCAATCCCAACGGAAATGGTAAGCGTGTCATTGGGACGAGCTAAAAAGATGCTGCCTGCTTTTTCCCAATGTTGATCTCTGTAAAAGTTTCTCGATCCCTTCGCTCCCCTCCGCCACCTCTGTCTTATACACAATTTACAATTTCAAGTATAGACTTTAAAAGTCCACGTCTGTTTCGGCTCCACCGGAAAGTCATACGTGTGCAGCCACTGGATTGGCTTATGGGATCCGCTTTCAGACATTATCCATATCCGGGGCCTAAGCGCGTTCACAGCATTCCTTCGATCCACAACGTAGGAAGGAAAGACGGAAAATTAAAACTCTCAAAGGAAGGTTGGCCTGCAGCGCGCAACTTAGGATTTATACGAAAGGAAATAAGCGCCATATATATACATACATAACCTTCCGACAGTCACACGTGTAACACGCCCCTCCATACAAATACTTAAAAAAAAAAAACTTCCTGCCACAGCTCCCTTATATTTAATACCCTAAAGGAAAAAAAAAAAAAAATATATCTTCGTAAAATAATTCATCGACCACCGGGCAAATATTATTCCCAGATTTTATTCTGCCTCGAACAGTCGTCCTACGTAAGTCCATCCGGATATACCGTATGCGTAAATTTGCATTAGAGAATACAAAGCGCCAAACGTTACGGTATATATAAGAGGACCTCAAAGACTTTTCCACGAATCGCATAAACTATAATTAGATAGAAGGTAACATAAATGCTTGGAATAAATATCTCATGGTAACGTTAGCGACAGACCAGCGATAAGTAGAGTTTAAAGATAACCATAACCCATTCCCTAAACATCTTCCTTGACCATCGAAAGAAATTCTTATAAATAGTACAGTCGACTCTCCGTATAGTAGCGCGCGCGACCTTCCGAGACCCGATAACTAGCGACAGACCGATATTACGGAGAGTCCGCATTCCGCTCTACGTACTGGGCCAAGCATTTGACAGAACCCGGAGTAACGCGCACGCTGAGAGGAACGATAGAGTGGATCAAGCATTTCCCTCAAGGCGCGAGAGCTTAGAGAGAGAGAGATGGAGGGAAATGCAACCATACAAAACGCGTATATAGCGAGAGTTGACTGCAAGTATTAATGGTTGGCCAGTAGCTATATATATCTGTGTATATATAGATATGTATAGAGAACACAGAACTTCATACTGACCAACGTTTCTCATATGCTATTTGAACTAGGGCTTTCAGCTTCGCTCGTTTCCGGTGAAACGTTTTATTAAACTGGCCTAGGCCACAAGGGGAAGTAATAGAGTGCGCTTGATACAATCCATATGTGGTCCCTACAATATGGCCTACGATATAGCTACAGTTACAGGGATATTTGTAAACAACGGTGAAACGACTGTTCACAAGATTCGACAAAAATAATTGAAGCTCCGATCCAGATGGCGCGACCTCTGTGTTTAAATTCATGGGGTTCGATTAATTGTCGCTGGTATTATAGGGAATAATTTCGTAATGGGGGGGAAAAAAATTCCCTATGGAATCGTTTCAGCCAGTAGTAATTCCTCGTCATTTAAACTGATGATAGGCACTATATGCTCTGTGAAGCGTGTAACCCGCTGTCCATGAACATCAATGCCTTCGCACAATGACGTAACGTTATTAGTTTGAACACAATGAGCATTTCGATTGACGATGCTGCATAAAGCAGATGTGCGCAATGTGCGTTGGAAGGTGAATTGGAAGGTCGAAGAGTAAACGTGATCGACTGAAAATTTACTATAAAAGGGAAGGTTCTGCCGTAGTACTACAGTTGCTAGGAGTCACGTAGATTATGCATTGTATGTGTATGCATATACGATGCACAGACTGATTATAGGTATATGCAATCCAATTACGCACGCTTACCGATAATAATTGTTTTAATGGCCAATGGTTAACCGCGTAGTCGATCAATGGATTTGCGCCAATTACTATGACACCGTTATGACTGAAATAATAAGAAAAAAATTGTTCGTATCCGATAAAAATACCACATTTGCTTGACACTCGTGCATATTACATGTTATGTGGAATATGCATATATTCTTGAATTTTAAAGGGGGTCATATAATGGACGCCGGGGGCAGTTTCGTATGTGGCAGTTGGTACAAGAGGTATCAACTTTTGTCAGGAAACTGGGTTAACACGGGAAAACGCATAGGAGAGTGGCAGTTGAAAATTCAATGAAAAAATAGACACGTACCTGACCTGGGCTTTTATCTTTATATTCTATTTAACGAGATTCCGGATGTTCTAGTTACTTATTTTTAGGCTGGCTTGCTTATATGTCTATTCATCCTTCCATTAGACGGCATTGATTTCACGTTTGGAGTATGAGGTCGTAGATACCTGTGTGTATGTATATACACGAGTGCATCTAGAAAATAATACTGTTCTGAAGAATGATTAGATTTTTGAAAGATTTAATTGGATCTTAACCAAATCGCTACAATCAATGTTGATTGGTGTCGCCTTGGATTTTATTAAAATAAATTGAAAGTTAATACAGTCTCTGAGAGAATCGAGTAATTAATCTACTACGGAGAAATTGGGCGATTAAACTGTCTGATGTAGTTTGATCTGGTCACAGATAATCAACTACAGGTGACAGAAGTTAACGGGTTAACATTTATCACGGGCAACGTGGTCCTTTAACGTATTGAAACAAAGTTTGTTAGTCCACACTGTCGACTCCTGTTTGCAGATCAAAGCGACGGTCAAGTTCCTTGCGTTCCGCTGTTTATTGGGTTATGTTCAGTCACTGTCACTGACTACGTTTCCAGTATGCAGTGCATAACTAGGATTAACGAATCGCGCTCGTGTATATTTTTCAAATGTCACATACGACTGGTTAATCCTCCGTGAATTTTGCACAGTGGAAACGTAGCTAATATTTCATGTATCGAATGACTCTGGTAGCGACCTAAAGCACTGACTAGCTATTCATAGTTTTCATATATCAAAATAACGACACTATTTTTACCTGTCGTGCGTGGTCAATACAAAAAAATCAGAATTGCTCTTAATTGCGATTCTACACAGATGACCCGTTATATTAACTCGCTAATAAAGTCTATCGTGTATTATTACCGATCTGTCAATGGCGCGAGAACCTTTCGCACGGAATATCCGGTAAGCTAACTCACGGTCAGATAACTCGTTCAACACTTCAGACGTCAGGAGCGTGAAATATGAAGGTTCCCTCCTCTCTAGGGCACCTGTCACTTTTACCCCGGATAAATAAGCAGAACATTCACGAAATTTTAAGATCCATACATTTACTCTCCATAGGTTAAACACACACAGTAAGAATTATTATCACGCATTTTATATCGTACCGGCTTCAGCTATTATTCTTTCGTTAAACTCCACTCACTAGACTCGGACACGATAGAGAATCGATGAAATTCGTTGATGCGTCTCCGAAATACTGAATCAATCCGACGGTAGGAAGGCATACACGTCAACGTCTTAAAAATAGACATTAATACCGGGTTGGCGTTGGACTTGCTGGTATTGAGTGTGACGTCGGTACTTGGAAGGTTCATGCACCGAAATGGCTAACCTTAGGAACGTTAACTTTAATGCGGCCATATTGGCTGTGCATTACAACACGTCACGGATTATACGAATGAATGATTTACTTTGCAGTGGTAGACTAGATATGTGAAAATGCAGATAGTATAACCCGTGTAGGACTACGAACATCGTGGAAGTTGGAAATAACGATAAAAGATGGCTGGCCATCTATTCGCAAATGCCTGAAAATGGCGTCCTACGAAAATGGCCTCCCTCTCAGGATGCAGAGTGGGTAGGTATGTACCACTCGGCTCTTGTATTATTTTACAACCGTAATTTCCCGAGGTAGCTACCCGCCACCACCGTCGAGCGTGGTCGTAGCTACGTACGCTACTAGGATGAAAGTTTCCTAGCTACGATTTCACGTAAGTTCCACGTTCGGCCGAGCCGGGGCGAAACGGGTAGTCGCCACGTAAGAGTGTCATACGCGCCATATTTCTGACGAATATCGAGGGTGATGCGTAGAATAAATATACTGCACGAAAGTGAGTCGACTTTTATTGGGAGTAACACGGAACCTATGAAAACCTTCTGCTAGCGGGAGGCCTATTGTCTAACGAAACGAGAATCGCAGCCAATAGAATTTCGTCCAGCAGTCAACGACCAATCGGATTTCACGCAACCGGACGCCATTGGGCGAACGATCGATTTACGTTATAATGATAATGCTTAGAAGTTTCATAGAAACGAAAAGCCACTTTTCCTATTCTCTGTGTATCTGGCTTCTGTAAAGCGTTAGTCCTTGTGAGTATTTGCCATTGTGTTGCCTATCTCAGTCTGCCGCTTCTTAACGGACCAGAGAGACATTGTCAAAGAATATTCTCTCGCTACATTGACTTCGAATCTTGCCGTGTTTGTCGCGTCAATGAGGCTCCTACAGGAATTCTCATTAGTGCGGTATGCTGATGACATGGTGATGATGCGGAATTAGTTTTCGCCTCGGTTGTTCTCTCGCGATACAGGTTTCCTGTACTACCTGTTTACCCTCAGTGGCATAGTTGAGAGATGCGTTCGCAAGGTTGGTAGACAATTACATGGAAAAAATTTGATATTTTTTTTTCATTTATAAAATATTAAATATTCATTGGCATGTTCACTATAGAATTATATATATAGCAAGGGAAAATATAATTCAATTGGCAGTACGATTTATCCAATTTTACGGGATTTACTGTATCTCGGATTTAATCGAGAAAAACTCAAGGGAATGACACCTTGAATCTTTGATACGTTTCGCGATCCATGTTTCTGGAATATTCGTGACATCTCGTAATGGCGTTTATCGGACCTCTCACTGTGTAAACTTTCGATTAAACATGGAGAAATAAAGGTAGGCGAGTATCGATGCTCAAGAGTCGAATAAGAATTAAACATTACAGAAGTGTCCCGAAACTTTTCATTTGCATGTAAAGTCAATGGAGAAGGAGGAACGATGATTCGACTCTAGCGGGATGGAAATTCTCGTTAAGTTCTTCGGTAATATAGCGAAAGGAATTTTACTCCTTATGGAATTCATGCGAATTTCATCAACTCTGTATAATCTTCTCACTCTCCTTTACTTTCGCCCGTTCTATCTGATTCTGTCTAATATAAATATTTCCTAGAGAAATTGAAAGGCACCTCTGAAGACTTTGTCCTTCGTTCACTTGGCGAGTCGCCATTATGCTAAACTCCAAGTCGACATTCTATTATACATAAGGACACCATGAAAAAGCTCTTCCATTAAGGATTCCCCGTGAGTCGTTCGTTTTCGAAGAATAGGCGTGCCGAGCTGCGCTTGACTATAGGTTAAAACGATTAGACTCACGCGATCGTTTAAGAGAGCATCATCCTCTGTCTCGTGTCATTAAATTAATTACGTAAATATAATAGAAACTAACAATATTATTTACTGAAACCACTTGTTTATAGGTCTGACAAAGAAATATTTTAATTAAAAACCTCAACCCTCTGGCCGATGATTAATTTTTTTGTTCCGCGGTCGTCACGTAAATAATGTTAAAGGATGCCTATTTCATGCACGTCTCAACCAGGATGCACATTTTACCTAATTAAAAAAAAAAAATAGATTTTGTTTCCATCGATCAAACGTCCTATATGGGTGCAATTAGAAAAAGCTATGACGGATTTGAATGATAATAATAAGAAAAGCAGCCCTTTGGCATAAGATCACCGACCATAGCATTTTTGGAAATTCTTCGGATTTATCGAAGCGCGTAACAAACACACAAGGAATTCACTCGACTTAGATAACGAGTTAGGACAGCGAGGATAACAGAAGCGAAGGACAACCAGAAGATCAGTCAAAAAAGGAAACAAATGAAAAATAAAGAAACAAGTAGGAAACTGGTTCCAAAGAAACTGTTGAAATGCCATAAAACCATAGAAAATTACCTTTTCGTTACACTCCCCAGGTATATAATTTTTTTATCTCGAATATTCTCCCTAGATTTATTCAGATTCAGGGTTAACGATGGTGACGACAAGAGCTGCGAGAGTTCCCAAGCAAGTTATATCCACCATGCCGAGTATGGAAGGAACGTTAAATCAGGGCTAACTGTATTTGCCACTTCATCATCCCTTGGCACTACACGAAAGATTGGACGCCCTTACAGCACCCCCGAAGGAAAGTCATTAGAAACTTCCGATTTTCCAGATTTCCATTTTGTCAGTGAGTCAAATGGTTGGGGCTGTAAGATACGAACAAGTTCATTCGGTACAAACTGAATAAGGTGCCAGTGCAAGAGAGTTAAGTAACACCCATGCCAAGTCATTGGAAGGAAAAAAATTGAAAAAAGGCACGAAAAAAAAAAACTGCAAGGGTGGATTAAAAATTTTTTTGTTTAAAAAAAAGTCGAAAGGTCGTGACCCTGACCTCTCGGCCGTACCACAGTACAGTGTCTACTTAGCGACGTTTGATATTTCAGGGGGCCAAGTACTTGTGCCAACAGTGACTTCTCCGAACCCCGTAAACAAACATGACCGATGGGAATCTGCTGGGAATTAATGAAGAGGTTAATTGAAGCAGCTAACTACAGCAGCTACGTAGGTTCGCACGTATTGCGGATAAGCGTTACGTATTCCCATACTTTCCAACTGTATAATATTTCCATGCGTATCCTTCAGCCTGAAGTTAACGTATATAGGCACTTTACGCAATTCAATTACAACGCAGGGTACAGTGGCATGGATGCTATAACCCGTAACATATATAAGCTACGATATTTCACAAAGTGGCAGTACGCCTGACATATCGGCTACCGCGTCTGTATCGCGCAGCTGATGAATATGGGGAAAAGCGTAGCTAAAGGAAATATTAGCGCACTCGTTCTTCGCCAGAGGAAAAGCCGACTGCCGCCTGTGAATAATTGTCAGGGCGCGGCCATTATTAAAGAGTCATAAAATTGGAAAGATACACGCTCGAGCGTGACTATTCCGGTTCCGGTCCTTGTGTTTAACACGTACAAGATAACGTACACGTCCACCCCTCTTATTAATCTTTTCAAAAATTTGGTATTATAAAAATATATTTACCCGAGCATAATAATGCTTTGTCTCCATATACATTTCAGACTACAATATAATTTCTTTATTGATAATCCTGCAGATTCCCTACGCTGACAGAATGATACACATTCAGGCCTTTCCATGCTATACGTTATACACAAAGTTTGGACTCGTCCCTTTAAAACGCTAATTGCCCAGAACCTTGACGAATCATTATTCTTGTACGATACTTAGAAGTTACTAAAAAAAAAGTCCCATTTTTTTTTTTTCGAGACCAGCAACTATGGCAAAACGACTATGCGTGGCAATAATATGACGTAATAACTTCCAGATCTGAGAAATGACTTCATAAGGCCCTATGTCCGTAGTACTGGCAAATGTATTGCGTATCAGCCTTACAAGTATACACGTCAAAGCTACGGGAAGTATTGTAAGGCTCGTAACTCAGGGTAACTGTTTATTAACGAGCAGCAGTGAAATCCAGCAGCAATAGAATTCGCTGCTGGTGCTGTATATGGCACCAAAGTCGTCCGAACGATTGATCATGAGTAAAGCAAGTATTAAGCTGGATATAAAACGAAAAGAAAATAAATAATGAAACGACTGGATAAGTATAAAGGAACTACCAAGTAGAATTTCTAACCCCCTATGGACTGTAATAAAATTGTATTCCTTGTGAAAAATGCCAGGGGTGCCATTATAATACTTTGCACAGGCTACGTAGCTTGCAAACTGATATCTATTATACTGTAACGTAATAAAAATAATAATAATATTAATAACGAGGAGGAAAAGTTACAACATAATCGAGCCAATTTGAAACTGAGATTCAAAAACGATTATAAAGTTGATACAGGAGTTCCTATAGAGAATTAACCCATATGGGTACCTTAGGCATATAGGTATACAGCCATATGTATACATAGAGGTACGAAGGGACCAATTGGCTGTAGTTTGACACGGGGACAGGGGTAATATGTGGGGCGGTCGATATCACGGTAGCTATAGGATATAGTGACCCTATAGTGTCTTCCGTATGCTGCTCCGTATGCTTCGTAGACGCCGTAGTATACTAACACACCGTGCGTGCTCCTGGACGAACACACGTTATCAGCGTTATTACTCGCCACTCTCCCATCTACCCTATCAACGGCCAAACTCCATTAACTCATTCATTCACTTGCCATATGTATCTATATGTTTCATTATTACGTTGGCAATGCTAATACTCCAGGACACGCCAAACGATTTGCTGCTATAAAAATTCCGTCGATTTTTTTTATAAATATCTGTATATATATAGGTATATATTCTGCACGACACACCTACCTACCTGCTGCTTCCACGTATGCTTCCTGATTCCCTCGTAGCGTTTGCGTATTTGTATATGGAATTGGAGTGCAAGTCGGATGTGTTATCTCGAGGTACTTTGACGGGATAGAAATTAGTGAGTGCGCATGCGCGGGAGATATCCCGATAGGGTAACACGACGTGAAGTTGATTCGATTTATTTTCAAGTGATTTGAAAACACGTGGAAACTAGTGCCTCTTGTCGGCGGGAGATCAGGTGAAAATTCATGGACGAGAAACTGGACCGCTGTAAACCGTGAGACGTCGTTTTGGACGTTAATTAAGCGAACGACCTCGTGTTTTTGGAAACGTCGAAGAAGATTGAAACGAGGTATGAGGAAGGCTGCTTGGGCGAGACGTTCATTAATCTTCCGAAAAGATGCTCGGAAACTGCCAATGATTTGATGACGGTTTGACGTTAGACAAATAACAGTAAGCGTTGCGATAATTTTCCTCGAACCTTATTATTTTTTTCTTATTTTCCCTTAATCATCTGACAGGGCTCGAGAACGGACCTTGGAGCGGATCCACAGAGCTCAGAAAGTAGCTACCAACTATAAACCGATCCCTGGATTCCGTAATAACAAAGTTTTAAGTACTATCGGCATATAAATCTGGAAACGACCTTCTACGACCACCGGAATCCTCCTGTAACCTCCGAGCGCTAACCGTCCTCGGGAGAAGCCACAACCGAGCTGAAAACTTGGTGGGATCGGTTTTTATAACGATTCCACGAGTTAGCCTTAAATTTTATAGGGGGCCTCGTCATTGGTACTTTTACTGTCAGGCAATAATGCCAGCTTTACCTCTGCTATCGATTCACATTTCAATGCTTTAATTCAATTTTAATTTATCGAAGCCATCTACACGTGCTTCGGACCAGTATCCATAACTTCCATATATGCGTAGCTACCTAGCGGGCCAGACTGCCTTGATGTTTATTCAGACAATTATCCCATACGGTGGTATCAACTGTTTGACACACTGGACAGAGCTTTGTTACTGCGTCTGGCGTTTTCGGTGAATAATGCCGTTTCAATTAACCATCCACGTTATTCGATTAAAATTATACAACGTGACGGGCGTTCGAAATTATTACTGATCGAGAGAGAGGGAGAGAGAGAGAGGGTCCAGGGACTTTTGTATATCCTAACTCCAGCACCCACCTTTGAACTTGAATATCTGACAAAGTAGCTGTGAATCCGTACGCACGGAATGCTGTGTGTTATAATTGAAATTAATAATATAAGTTTTAACCCTTAGCTGGATCCTTTGTCTGTGATAACATAGCTGACGAGTGGGGTCGTTGAAGACCCCAAAGAAAATTTAGTTATAAAATCAACTGTTTTTAATATTTTGGCTTGAAATTTTTTTTTGTCACATCTTAATACATATTTTTTAAGATAAAACCTTCTGTAGATCGAGTTTTTTTTTCAAGATTTAAAAAATCCTTAAAAATTTTAAAGATCCTCAATGTACGAGAATCGCGATTGAAAAGTAGCTGGGTCAAATTGACCCCATGGATCCAGCCAAGGGTTAAGGTAGAATTTGTCCTTTGTGAAAGCAAAATTGTGCTTTGTGTCTACGTAACGACGCACCTTGTCGCAGGGGTGTTTCTTTTATACCGATAGTCAATTAGAGCCCTGACTGGTAGTTATTATCACACTGTTACAAGTACGCGACAATGCGTAGTCGTACCTTTTTATCGTCTCCTAACAAGCGCAAGTTCACGTTTTATTGTTTACCTTTGTCAATTTATATTCTATGAGAAGTTGTCGTTTTCGTAAATTTACGTCGAACGCTTCAATGTCCTAATTTGTGAGAATTTGTATCCGTTGCAGACGGTGGCCCGTTGTCTCGCTGTGGCTCTGATAAATTTCGAATCGATTACGTTTCGAAGACCTTCGGAGGCCGTGGTGAAATTAATATTTTCCCACTGTGGAGCGTATACAGCCATTCGTGATATCTTGGCGTCGCGCCAATGTAAACTTCCAGCCAGACGATAATTCCAGGTTAATTGAAGAGCTTAGAGCTCGGATTATGTTTGCCATAAGCGCGAACGTTGTGGCCTTCCCGTCGCTCTTAATTCTCGAAGACGCCAGGGAAGTTTCCGCTGCGAGACGCGACGTCAATCCAATATGGCCGTTTGAGACGCGGCTCCTCGTAGTTCCTGGGGAAACCGCCTCTCGAATTGGGCCACCCTGTGGATCACGGATCATTCTATCTCACTCTGTTCCATCGACAACCTCTTTAATCATCGGGGATGAATAAATTATGGAAATTGTGTATACATGAGGTGCGTATAATAAACAGACTCTCGCATCACATTATCCTAATCCTCTGTAGGCCTAACGCATGACGTTACTTATACCTGCGAGCAAACGAAACTTTGGGATAAACGTCATTGCCAGCTTAATTGTCTATCCTGCGAATCTCTTGTCCTTTAGCGATTCCTATTATCTCGCGGCATTACGTACACGGAGCTTTCTGTTTTACCGACCGTCCCTCGCTTTTCGTAGATTTGCACCATTTTTTTTTTTTCAACAAAAAAGACCCTTGTTAATGATCCTTCAGGACGATCGTACAATGTGCTAAGGCAGAAATCCCACTACGCAGATCTCGGCAAGGAACCTTAATGACTAAAGGGGATGCCGCCGAAATAAGGGTGTAAGCGAATTGCGCGAGAGGGACAAGGGACGTAGGTAGGGAAAGAAGCAAGTATAAAAGAAAGAGGACCGCGTCGGAAGTCAAATCGAGGAAGGAAAGATATTCCCGTTCAAGAAATTGGACTTTGCAGCTGAACGGCTGCGACTCAATTGTTCAACCGGATGACGGGGTTGGTGTATCAATTACGAAAGTTGAATATAAATTCGTGATTGCATCAGGTAGAACGTCAATTTTTTTTACGAGTACACGTAAACCCGAATTTTTTCATTTTTCCAAAATATCACGCCAAAAGAGGACGAAAGACAATATGAAAATAATCGATGAAGAATGTATGAAGAGGTAGGTGAAAATAAGCTACCACAGCAGCCTCCTACCAAAATTCTATTTATTTTTTCAAATAGATTTCTTAGCATCGCGCACTGGTACTCCTACGAGCGGTACTTGCATTATGCATCCAATTATTATCCACCCTTCGACACGAGAGAGAAGGATCCCTTCTCTGTCGCATGAAGAATTGAAGGCTACGACAATGAGCTCCCATTTTCCCTACCCCCACGCTACGACCTCCAGTCGGTTGGAAAATTTGTTTCAATTCTGTCGCCTCCCACCCAATTCCGTCTTTGCTTGTCCTAAAACCCTTCGTGACGTCACCCGTCACTCTTCATCCACCCACTGTCCCAGAGACACGAGTCTAGAATAATCCTCGTGCAAGCTCCGCCGATGCCTATCTTGAATATCGATCCTCCCTAAAGAAATACTTATTACGGCCAGCCTGAAATATAATTACGTAAAAAGCACCATTCATTTCCCTTAGCCCTTGTGCACGGTAGAAAGCTAGGGGGGGGGGAGTGTTGTCTCATTATTTTCATACCGTTATACTTTTTTGTTTTCCAAGTAATACGTATTTGTGTCTCTCGCCGAAGCAGACATAAACAGACTCGACGTTGTCCCCCTACGTACGTAAGAGCTGCGCGCGCATCCATCGGGCTACACGTGACGCGGTTTACATCGAAAGGAAGAAACATTTCTCTTGTCGGACATTTCCGTCACGGAAGGTGGCATTGGTTTCGCCAGAAGTGCGAAATTGCCGATATAAATAACCGTACGGAAAGTGGCAGCCCTCGACAAAGGTGTCCATTCTTCCTCGAGCAAGAGTCCTCCGGAATTCGTCTTAAGGTTAGTTCCCACCGCCCGTACAAAGGACGGAGACCAATAAACTCACCGAAAGGCGATATCCATTCAGGTTTCTATCTCTCGTGCAATCGATAGTGTATTATACCATAGGACATATCTATTTCGGATGTATCCGCACGATAGAGAAAAGCTAACAGCCCCTTGAAAACGAGACTTAACAATTATTTACGACCTTCCACATCGAAGTGACGTTTTAAAAGCTTATTGTAACATTAAATTTATATGACAAAGAACGAGCGCGTATTGCGCGCTATGCCACGTAATATCTTTACAAGTTCGTCGGACGACGCTATGGTTGAAAACGAACCTTGAGTCTCGTATGCTTGGTAGTATCTGAAATTTTCGGTGCTCGGACCAATTCTGTTTGGACGTTACGTGCGAATTAACGCTTTGGTTTTTACAGCCGATGGATTAGCAAATTTCGTAATGGAGCGTGCTTTCGAATTTCGTGCACGTCTGCCTCACGTATTCACGTTCGAATTACTATGCTCGGTACCCGAGCCTGAACTCTACTGTAGTAAACTGGCTATTTCGGCCGGTTTACTTAGCGTTAAACACGTGCACGTAGTGCTGCGCGAATACTGCATATATGGATACTTGTGTGCTGTATGGAGATTCACGTAATTTGGTACGTACCTACGCTAAAGTGAATATGAGGAACGTTAAGCACTCGCATGTCGAGAAGGAATTTTTCCCGATTTCCTCGGAGAATATAGTTACGTAAATTTCTTGTTGCTATCCGATAGTCCAGAGATCTTCGTCAGTCCTGTTATCATTTTCCATTATAAATTGGCGCAGATTCCGAACGATACTTCGAATTTCGATAAGCTTAATACTGGCTGGGATTGTGTACTGTTACTTTTTATAATTATTTTATCAACCAAGGATACCGGGCTGGACAGTAGTAAATAGACACGGTTATGCAAGACTGCAGGTTATTCTTATCGAATTGTAATACGATGCAATATTTTGACAAGTTGGTTCTACGATGGGAATCGAAGAAAATTAAATGGACGGAACCATCTTCGGGCGGTGCGAAAGACCCGAATAACTGTGTGTATTGAAATGACAGCCGGAAGTAGCCGTCAGTCTATTTTCACTTGGATGCTGGTCCTACTGGATTTTGTTACCGAGATATATCACTATCACGTGACTTTGACATTTTATACGATAGAAATTACAGCTAAAGTGCAAAAGGCTGAAAATTTTATTTTTTTCCTAAAAATATCGAATAACGAAATACACGAAATAATATTTACTAAAAGAGTGTAATTACGGAAATTAAAATTACTTAAAAATTTACATCTGATGAAAAATCACACTTTGGTAGAGACAGGGGTAAGAACTTTCGGTAGTCGTGTCTAGGCTTTATTTCACTCTTCGTTTTCCCCTTGTCTCTTTTTTCCTTAGTGGCTGGACCAAATGGCGTTATACGGATTTCCGAGAGGGATTTGATGGCCTTCGAAAAGAAAAAACAAAAGTGCAAAACGAAAAGACAAAAGAGAACGAGAAGAACCGTACGGACGTAAATATACAGATGCAGAAAAAATATCGACCTATTTCGAATGCACTGGTCCAGCCAGATACGCAGCAGCATTGCACCACGTACGCCATTATCGTGAGAAACGAATGGAAGGAAATGAATGAAAAAGGGATGAATAAAATTGTATCCCTTTACCCTCCCTCAGTTCACCCCCTCGAATTTTCTCTCCTCCATCGTCAATCCCTTTGTTCGGACAACCAACCAAGAGAGCCCAGAAATGCTTTCGGTATCGAGAATCGTAAAAACGTCCGCTTTACCAGACGCTACAGCAGCGCCACATATTTCGTGCCACGAAATATAATTTACCTAAATACTAATCGTCAAATTCGAGGCGCAAGAAATACTTCAAAAGAGCGCGACCCTAGAAGCGATACTTATTTGATCTTTCTTTTCCCTATTCTTTTTCTTATGAACTTTCAACAAAAGATCATAAGGATTCCCATTGTGAATACAACGTGCTACGAAAAGCCATTTCTAAGGAAAATACAATATACAATGCAAAAGTACCGGCAAATTCCCTTTTCGGCAAAGGTACATATATCCGAACCTTAAATCCAATGGTTAAACAGAATAGCGTTTCTGACGGCGACTCGGAATAGCGAAGGACCATCGAGATTAGAAGGTACGGGGTTCAGGTTAGGTAGATTCGACAGATGGGAAATCCTTCAAGAGTATCGAATCCCACTGAACCGTAAATAGCGTCAGATACACAGAATCACTCGTCCCACGAATATAGATCCCTTTTGACGTGAGACTGTCTAATAGAATTAAAGAGACATTTAAGAAGCTCTCGTCCTCGTGATACGAATTTTTTTCAAAGATAAATTTTTTTTTTTTATATATACAAAAATCGAATTTTATTCCATCCGTATGTACGTACCCACTCATTTCATATTCTTCTACTATTTTTCTTTATGCTTTTCTCGTATCGCCCCCCTCCTATTTCCAATCGACCCAATATTTTTTTCTACCGTTTTTACCTTTAGTTTACCTATTGCACTCACTCTGTATCAATCTCATCTCTGGTATGTTTCCACTTTCCATGTATCCTTCATAAAACTAGTCGGTCCCGTATCAAACTCCTAGTGCGCATATGCATTACCCGTCATATGCTGTACGCTATTCGCCTGCGCGAGTAAACTCCGTTACACTCGGGAACTCTGATAGAAGTGTATAGTTGGCCTAAGGGACGTAGGGGATGCCTACCGACGTACCTACCCAATCTCATTCGCCCACACGGTCTACAGGACAGACTCTGAGTATTCATGTGGCGAGGAGCTTGGATGATGAACAAGGATAGACAGTCGAGAGAATTTTCGTGTGAGTGCAGAAAGTCAAAGGAAAGTTTTCGAACATGACAAGATCAAGATTCATGTCACGTGCATGCACCGTGCATTTTATTAGACTTGACGGGGAATTTTTTCTTTCTTTTTTTCCATAGATTCAAGAACCCACGACTTTTGAACGCCATCTTGGATTTTACGGTAAGGCGCGGAGTGACGTCATTCGTTTTATATCTCGACGCCGATCCGTCTCTTCTGTTAAACTTTCAATGGGAAAACGTTAAGGGGCAAGGATATTCACGTTTGGCAAGTTAGCACTCAAACGGGGATGGATCATGGCGGCTAGGGAGAACGGAAATTACGGTAATATACGCCTCTGGCTAAATTTACAGCCGACAGCCTGCTCAGTTTGTTGCTTTTAAGGTCTCTGACCCTTGGTAGGCGAAGCCCTGTTATCAGAGCTTGTCCTTAACGTATATATAACTTATCTAGACATTCGATGCTCTAGGCGTGGACGAACTTTACCCTTCCTTACGATATAATGCGTTGAGGTGATAATGGATCGAAAATATTTGCACGTTCGGTACGAAAATTTTTTTTTTTTTTTTT